ATTTGGAAAATGAATACTATTCAATTTTATACAATTAATGTGTGTACTGTCATCCTCTACGAAGTCTTGAGCTTCTTCCATTGTAACACATTCTAAGTGGCTTACTTTGTTCCTGCATTTTACACCATAAAATTTATTTGGCATGTTCCAATAACTCTGGCCTGAATGTGGTTGTTATGAATTGAGCATCTGCAGATAATTCATGTATCATATCAGCAACTGCTTTTCTGTGTTGAGCATCCAAAGCCTGAATCATAGAGAATACAATTACTAATTGTTTTTATAAGCTTCATCACTGAATTATTGAATAAAGTCAAGTAAATATGATTAAAAAGTAGACTTACTTGGTCTATTTCATCAAACAAATAGAATGGAGCTGGGTCACATTTTTGGATTGCAAAAATTAATCCTAAAGCAACTAAAGACTTTTGACCTCCTGAGAGCTGATTCATTTCTTTCATTTCAGCATCTTCCTCGGTGAAAGATACTCTAATAGCAACTCCAGTAAACGCAAAACAGTAAATATAATAATAATTAATGAATTTAGACTTACTAACAAATTGTATTACTATTTGTAATCAACATGCCTTAGGAATGCTTTATCAGCTTCTTCTTGAGTAGTTTTCATAATCAAACTTCCATGACCAGTAGGAACAAGTTTTTTAAAAACTGATGTAAAGTATTTTGAAAATTGACGGAATGTAAACTGAATTGCTTCTACCTACGCTGCTCTAATGTTTCCATCAACTCTTTAATTTTCTCACCTCTATTATAAATGAATAAATTAATGTATATGAAATTGATAAATGAATATAAACATATTTAAATTATATATATTATATATATTTATATATATATATATATATATTAATTGTTTAATATGAACAAAACAGCACTCAGATTTGTTTAACCACAACTTTATTTTATGATTACAGACGTTCGAGACCATGGGTGGTCTCATCTTCAGTGTAATTTCAAAAAACAGTTACTATATACTACACATCTTTAATAATTTATTTAAATTTTATTTAATTTTTGGTATACAAAAAACACCAACTATTCCTTGCAATGCTTGACACAGTAAGAAGAAAACATTTAACACTTACAGAAATATTCTAAACAAATTTGAAGTAGTACTTATATAGTGGAGACAGAGAGGGTATCATTATAATGTAAACAAAAGGAGTGCTATCGCATACAAAAATCGATTAAAAATGAAAAAAACAAATTAATTTATTGAAAAGAATAAGATAAATGAAAAATTTATAAATTATTAATGATGTTTATATAAGTGTCATGTAAAATATTTGTGTCGGTTCTTAGATTTATGCTATTGTTAGTCCGAACTATTAACATTGATTCTGCCATGCTCCTTTTAAATAAGTCTTTCTCATGGGAATAAAATTTGGGGATTGTCAAAATCAAACTTATGGTTGTTGATATTAGCATGATCCACAAGTGTACTTTTAAATTTTTTGTTATCTATTTTTTCACATTGTAATTCATGTTGCCTGAGTCTCTTTTCTAAGTTCTGGCAGGTCTGGCCAATATAAGAGTGCTGTTTTGTTCATATTAAACAATTAATATTCGTTCCACCATATCATAAATTCTAGATTATATATATAGATATATATATATATATATATATATATAATATATATATGATTTAGTAGTAATTTTGATGTTGAAATATATGAGTGAGTTCTTGAGGGCGATACATCAAACAAAGAAAAGCCAAGAGATTTATAAAATAATCTTTATTTCCAAACGTTTCGACATTCATTTAATGTCATCATCAGTGGATCTAAAACAGTATGAAAATTAGCATATCTAGGTAATTATAATATATGTGGATTTGTAAAGTAGTAACTATACAATAAGAGAAAAATTAACAAATAGCAACACTTAACAACAAATCAAATAAAAAGATAGGAAAGGTAGTAGAGACTAGAATTAAATAAATAATAAAAGTATAGGCAAAAATATTTAAGTACACTCATATAAACTTTTTTTAAATTTTTCTCTTATTGTATAGTTACTTTACAAATCCACATATATTATAATTACCTAGATATGCTAATTTTCATACTGTTTTTAGATCCACTGATGATGACATTAAATTGAATGTCGAAACGTTTGGAAATAAAGATTATTTTATAAATCTTTGGCTTTTCTTTGTTTGATGTATCGCCCTCAAGAACTCACTCATATATATATATATATAAATATATATATATACAGTAGAACTCCAATTATCCGAACTCCTACTATCCGAATCGCCGATTATCCGAATCACTTTCAGAAAAAAAAATTGTCCAAAAAAAAGTGCGCTATTATTCTTCCACTCGCAAAGCCAGTGTAGGCTTCTATATATTATTTAAATATTTATTTTATTTTGTTTATTATTTAAAGCATGTGAAAATATCATGTTTCTTCTATTTAATTCAATAAAAAAATAGTGCAATATCAAAACGGAACTTTTTTTCTCTCCAATGGCAATTTTTAAAAAGAAACTCCGATTATCCGAATATTTGATTATCCGAATGGGTCCCGGTCCCCATTAATTCGGATAATTGGAGTTCTACTGTATGTATACATGGTCTGTTCAAAAGTACCCGGAATTACTAATAATTAAATTTCGCGGGTCTGGAGTGTCTGATTGTCAAATTTTTTTTTTATTGTGTTGGTATACATGCCCCTAAAGTATGATGAAATTTTCAGCTATATTCACTGTTTACTTTGTCTGTGGTAGTCGCTAAGGTTCGACGTGTTTTTCTGAGCTCGGCGATTTTTACAATGGAAGAATTGAAAAAGTCAAAGAATTTGTATTAAATTTTGCGTAAAAAATGAAATAAAGTGTTGCAAAGTGCAAAAATTCACCAGATATGGCTCCGTGTGACTTTTTCCTATTCCCAAAGTTGAAGAGACCCATGAAAGGACGGCGGTTTTCCTCGATTGAAGAAAATCGCCGAGAGTGCTCAAGGACATATCAAAAAGTGAATATCAAGGGTGCTTCGAAAATTGGAAAAAACGCTGGCATAAGTGTATTATATCTGGGGGGGACTACTTTGAAGGGGACCACATTAATGTAGACAAATAAATAAATATTTTTTTGAAAAACGAAAATTACGAAAACTTTTTGAACAGACCTCGTATATGCATATATATATGATATATATATATATATATATATATATATATGTGTGTGTGTATAGGATAATTATTTTGGGCATAAATAATCTTTAGGTTGTAGTTAATCATTACATGACATTAGATAAAGATTTATCGCTATAATAACAGAAAGTGCTATCATAGGATAGTTATCCTTCACATGCCATCATATTGAATTTTTTACAATTGTAGCTAAATGTACACATGAATACATACCCAATTGTCAGCTCTTCATGTCTTTTGTTTAACTTCTGTTTTTGCTCTGAGAAACTTAAATATTGATCCATAGCTTTTTTATTTACATGAGTATACTTTTTAAGATTTTGATTTGCTTTCTCCAGCTCTTTAAACAACTAAAACCAATTCACACTTCATTATGAATAAACAAATTTGCAAAATATAAATAAGGCAAATGTAAAGTAAACTATGATTTTATGCAATAACTCATCAACTATGAATTGTTGTTTTAATAAAAAGAAAGATAGGAGCATTAACAGGGGCATTGAAAAGGATCCACTCTTTCGTCAAAAAAATAAAATACTAATTCTTAAAACGCAAATAATACCTATAATTTTATATGGAATAACAACATGGAGCCAAACAACTAAAGCTAACCTAAATGACATACAGAGAATAATGAATAAAGCCACAAAAATAGCATATAATTTTCCACATCTAACACCCACCAAATACTTACAGAGAGAAACAAATAATCATTCACTAAATAACATAGAGAAATGCAAACTAATACACAAAATGAAATTTAACCGAATTAAAACAAGCGCAACAATAAACATAAATCAAGATATACATGAACACTACACTAGAAAACACAACAATTTTCACATTGAACACAATACAAAAAAGAATTTGAGAGAAAATGTCATATGAAGTGCTAGCAAAATATATAACAAATTACCAAACGATATTAAGATGACCAGTGATGACGATAAATTAAATAAGGAAATTGAAGACAACAAAGACTGAAGAGTTATATATAAGATATTTTAATTATATATAGATATTATATTAATGAAATAGATATTATAGTCAAATGAAATGTATATATAATAAGAAAATTGTTTTTCATAATCTCTCATACCAGGCACCTCTGCCTGACAGATATGAAAATGTATATATATATAATATATATATAAAAAAAAAAAAAAAAATATATATATATATATATATATATATATATTGAAATATGTGAGTTTGGTGTTGATATATATTTTGATGAGTTATTTAGAAATAACTCATCAAAATATATATATATATACATATAAATATATATATATATATATATATATATGCGAATGGTTTTTCAGCCACAAGTCGAAAAACTAAAAACAGAACGTAAATATAAATCTTCTTCAATATGTTTCGAGCTATTCAATAAAATACAATACATTTGTATTTTAGCTGAATGATAGGCTAGCAGAATAGCTCGAAACGTATTAAGAAGATTTGTATTTACGTTCTGTTTTTAGTTTTTTGAATTGTGGCTGAAAAACCATTCACATTATGTTTCGAAGTTAAAATAAACAATATCAAGATATATATATATATATATATATATATATATATATTCATATACATATATGTATAACAGTGTGTGTGTGTATGTTTGCAGGTATATTATATAAAATTCTTTGTCATAGAAACCAAATGAATAATTCATTTTTCTATAACTTCAATAAACTACTTACTTGTTTAAGACTCATGGAATTAAATTTCTGATAAGCCTCGGGTTTTGGCAATGTTCCCAGCTGTGATATTTTCTCAGTATATTCTGTAATTTTTTCTTGCATCAAGTTTAACTTTGATGATAATTTTTCTATGCTTTTTGAATCTTCTTCAATTTTTTCTTGAGCTTCATGTTCTTTTCCTTTCCATTCATCTAATTCTTTTTGCAAAGATTTTTGCTAAAAACATTCATAAAAAAAAATTAAAGTTATTTACCAGAAAATTATAATAAATATTATAAATGTTATACTTACAGCTCTTACAGCCTTTTGTAATTTGGATTCCATGCTTTGTAAGTCTTGATTTACTTTATCTATTCTGGTTTCAGCAGCTGCAAGATCTGTTCCACAATTCGCCAATTGTCTCTTTCTATCTTCTACAGATATTTCTTGAAGCGCTTGAACTAATTCTTCTTTTCTCCTAAAAATGAAGAAAACATGTATAATACAAATATATTGTATAGCAATTAATATTAATAAAAACCTTATTAAATTATTTGTTAAGAGATTTTCTAATTTATTCTTATTTGCTTCCAAATTCATACGCATACTGAAAGCTTCTTTATTTTCTTGATGTAAACGTCTTATATCATCATTCAGTGTGTCAACCTCTCTTTGATCTTGCACAGATAATTGTTCAAGTAATTCCTGTTAATAAATAATACCAATTCATAAGCATACAGACCATAGGATTAGTCAATGTTAAGCAACCTATATTGTAAAGTTACATTCAATAACGAATTCATTCTTTATTACCCTAACCTTCGTCGGACCCGACCCAGTCCGACAAGTAAGATATAAATCAACGCTGTCGGACTTATTCCGATATAAAAAAATGCAACGTTATTCCTTTGTCGGATTTCTTATCACATTAGACTCATTGACACATACTATTAGTCAACAAGGTTTGAAGAATATCAGCCAGAAAAGAGTATTTGCAATGTAAAAATAAATGCAGAACTTTGAAAATGCAAAGTATGCCTCATATTCATCTCAAATACTGCCGGAGTTGCACCAAAACGTTCTTGTTCAAAACTTGTTGCACTATATGTTCTTGTTGCCGGAATACAACTATACGTTCATGTTCAAAAACAGGATGAATGTTGGGACTGGCAGATGATAGGGACAGCTATTATACAGATATGACAAATGTGCAAAAAATAAACATATGCACAATATATTTTCATTCATATAGATTTTAATGCATTATAAAATGCATAACTTTTTAACTTCCCGCAGGGTAAGTTATTGCAATCATCCAAAAATCAAAATTGAAAATTTTTGCATTTCTTCAAGTTTTGAATATTTCTGAACATTTTGTCATGTATGTATGGATACCATTTTTCGTCCATGTTTTCAGGCACACAGATAAACCGATTGGAATGGTTCAAAAAAACATTTGATTCCTATTGATAGGAAAATGTGCTGATTAGTTTTCAGCAAAGGCAGGTCCAACCATTTTGGATATACAGAGCAAAGAGTGCAGAAAATATAAATCGAGTTTTTGAGAAAACTGAGCAACGATTTGAATGATCCAAAAAACATTCAATTCATAATGATGGGGAGAAGAGGTGATTAGTTTTTGCCAAAGGCAGGTGTGCAGTCGTTTTGGAGATACCGAGCTAAATGTGCTAAAAATTGCAGTTTTTGAGAGAACTTAGCATCCGATTTGAATGATTTAAAAACCTTTCTGCTTGTGTTGATAAAGCATTGCCAGCCCAAAATTTTATCTCTAATTTTTTTTTTTCAGAAAATGTTTTTTTGTATATCAAAAATAATTCAGATTTTAATTTTAATTCTGGCTGAAGTTCTAAAATTAGCTCACTTATATACTTCAAATAAATAATTTTAATTTTGTAATTTATTTTATACAATTCTCAAAAATTTTAGATTACAGTATTTATAATAATCTATTTGAAAACATTTTATATTCCTTGAATATTTCATTACGGTATGGAAAGTTTCAGCAATTTGCCTTAAGGCTTGATGCCATACACAACTAGTTTTTATAAAATTGTAGATGTTGAAACAATTATAGGAATTCCCATATTAAATTAAAAGCATTTTAAATTTTTTAACTAATGTTTTATGTAGTAAGATAATAAAGCAAGCTTAGCTATTAATGAATCAATATTAACCAACCTGATGAAGCTCAGATTCTAGTCCATCTTTTGTGGTTTGCATAGCTTCTAAATGAGCTTTGCATTGTGCAAGAGATCTTTCCTTTGGATTTCTGAATCTCTGAATACTATTTAATTCCTCCCGCATCAAACGAATCTCAGTAGTAACTTTATCATAGATATCCCTGGAATTAGTTGAATTACAAATTACAGCCTTGTTAATTACCCACTTAACTTAGTGTTTCTGACATAGCATTTCTATCTCAAGAATATGTAATAACTTTCAGAAGATTACTGTTTTACAGAATGTATAAATAGTAATTTAAATTTTTCTTCTAAACTAAAATATAACAAACATTCAAGTAAAATATTTTTTACAAAATGAAATGATAGAGATAATTTATCTTACTAACTTAGAGTTACTCTGTTTAGTTTCTGTCTTCTGCATTTCAAGAACAATACTATTAATTTTAGCTTCTGTTGCTGTTAGATTTTCTCTTATTTCCATTAAATCCTTTTCTGTTTGTCGTATAGATTCCATGTACTCACTCCTTGCTCTTTGCATTTCCAAGCGTGATCTTGAAGTATTAAAATACCCACCGGTCAAAGAACCCTTTGAAGATACCTGTAATATTTCTTAGTTAAAATTTCAATAATTTTTCCAGATCTTATCATTGGTCTATTATAAATCATAAAGTTAAAATGTATGAGGAAACATTTCCATCTTCAAATTTTCATCTCCAAATTTATTTTCATAAAAAAATGCTATTTATTTTTTACCAATTTTAAAAACTAATAAAAAAACATTCTATATTTCATAAATCAATAAAATTTACAAGGCTTAAATGTTCTAAAAACTTCTTAAGGTACTAGCTGAATCTAACCTGATCTCCATCCAGTGTAACACAGTCCAGACCAGTACTCTTTGCTAAATCAGTGGCTTTCTCGAGATTTCGACAAATCAATGTTTTACCAAAAATGTATCTTATGGCTTTATCATACTTTTGATCATACTTCAATTTAGATACCATTGGCAAAGCATCCTGCAAAAAAAAAATTATGGTCTTCATAGTATCTATAATACAAACCTCTTTCATTTATCCAAACATAGCATCCAATTTTATCTGAACTTATTTATTTATCACTTTATTTTATATTTTCTTTACTAAACTTGCAAAATGCATTACTTCTGACATACAAGAAAAAGTAAAAACAAAGCATGCAAATGGTACAAATTAAAGTTGTTTGAAATTATGCACCTTATATGGTCAAAGTCAAAACATATTCTTGAAAAATTATCAGCCAACTCATTGAAAATAAGGCAATAATTTTTAAAACATAATTATTTTGCATATTTAGATTCCAAATGTGTGTCAACACTCAGCAGTTGTCAAATAAACATACAGAAAATTATAATAAATTATCCATTCCGTTCATAAAAGAAAAACTAATACATAGATCCAGAATTTTCTTTATCCTAAATCGAAGTTCAAATTTTCGTAATTTAGTACTAAGTTTTATGTGTTGCAAAAATATAGTAAACCTACTAAATGACAAATCTGATAAACCTATAAAAATCAACATAATTGAAAAAAATATGAAAATAATTTTATTCATTTCGATCATACTTATAATACTTATAATTATGTTGTCCTTAGAATTTTTTTGTCATTTATTTAAACCATCATTTTATTAATTAACATATTTCTTCTAATGTAATAATGAATAAAGTTAATTCTAATAAACAATCAATAATATTGGATATTTTGCTCAAAAAAAAATCTCTGCTGACTTTCTTTGCATACAAAATATGTGAATACACAAAATATACATGACTCTAAATGAAATACATGACTTACAGTCATGTATTTCAGGCAATCTCAAAGTTAAAAATATATATAATAATATGCATTTAGAATAATATTTATATCTTTACCTTGTTATTGGGATATTCTTGAGGCCTAACTTGTAGTCGATTTAAGGGCATAAAAGTGACTTCTCCAGGTAGTTTTTGATTGTTCATTTCTTTTAGAATTTGTGTGCCAATTTTATCGGATTCCACAATATGATGAAACAATCTATTACCTGCAGTAACCTGTGATTCATTAAGATTTTTTTCAATTAAATATTAAATTTTCAATAAGGTGTTAACATGTAATAATTTTCACAAATTTTGTAAAGAAGATATTAGCTTCTACAACCAAAAAATTTAAAGAATTATTTTTTATGATTGTAAACAGTTTGGTGGAGAAAGTTAAAAAAGCATGCATTCGTATGGGAATGAAATCTTGCCACTCATGCTATTTACTTAAAAAAAATTCGGTTTAGTCAGTTATTATTCTTATTAAGTCAATTATTTACATATATTAAGAAGTTCATGCAACTTGCTTTATTGCAACATTTCAAAAATAGATTCAGTCCTCATAAAAATATGATCAAAAAATCCTTTGTTAACAATAAATACATGCATATATGTCCAAACAGAAATTAACAGCACAATAAAATAATACATACTTCTACAGCAGTATAAATAGACTTCTCACAACTAAAATTTTCTATGACTGGTCCATAATAAGCTTTAGTTATTTCTGCTGAAGCGCCACCTCGTTGAGTAAAAGTCTCTAATACCTTGCGTACACTATCACGTCCATTTAATATAGGCTGAAAAAATTTGTTGTTTTTTAGTTATCTTAACTTTACATACCAATGAAAAATGATACCTTTCCAGCCATAGATCTTAAACTCTGATCTGCTTTTGCCAAATCTTCTTTGAGAGATGATAATGACTGAGTTAATGTAGATTCCTGACGCCAGAGATCACTGTAAAGTGAAAAATGTGATAATTAAAAGTATTTTTGCATGTAACACCATTTTTAGTAAAAATGCCTAATAAATCATATCAAAAATTAATTTGAATTCACATTAGAAAAACTCACTTTCTACTAGCCTGATGTGTGTCCTTCTGTTTCTTCAGTTCATAGAATATTTTATTCTTTTCATCTATACTAGATCTTTGTCTTTCACATTCTGAAGTTTGTTCTAAAATTCTGTTCTCTAGTTCGGCCTAAAAATAGAATTACAATTCAGAAAAATATGTCATATGCAAGGTATTTTCCTCAGAGCCAAAGTTAACTGACTTGTTTCTCTGCATCACGTTTCAAATCTTCATTCAATTTATTCTGATGATCCTTCTTATCTTTTATTTGTTTGTTAAGGGACCTAAAAAAAAAAAAGTTGATAAAAGATGCTACAGAATTTGAGAATGAAAGCTAGGATTATGAATGTAAAATAAATTTTTGAAAGAAATTTTTGTTTTTTATTGATGTTATGGCCGATTATTAGACTTTGTTAATACATATGTCAACATCAAATTCAGAATCATACAATATATATATATATATATATATATATATATATATACATATATATATATATATATATAAGTTAATGAAAATATACTAATTAAAACTTGCTTCAACTCATTTTGAATCCATCTATCTCGATCATCTTTACTAGTAAATTGTGTTCCACGTCCTTGTTTGGCATACAACTCTTTTCGCTTTTGTTCTTTGAGTGCCAATTCCCTGGTACAAGCATCCTCCTTTTTCTTCATCTCATCATACCGAGGTTTTAGGTCTTCAAGTTCTTTCTCTTTTTCAATTATTGTTGTTGTCAGACGTTTCAACTCTGCTTCAGCTCTCAACTAAAATGTTAAAATCGTAATATTACATAATGGAAATTTAAATGTGTATTCAAGTATTCAAAATTTTTGACAATTTGAGAAATTTTGAACCTTTACAAAATTGTGAAAAAAGCAAGCAGGTTTTTTTCAATGATTAGAAAGTTTGAATAAAAACTATTTTTTTTTACTTAAATTTTCAAAAAAAATGCTAACCCACTTTCAAAACCATTATATAACAATTTAATAATAATAGAACAATGAATTTATAAAAGAAATAAATTAAAATTTTCAATATGTTTAAGAAAGTTCGACTCTATTGATACAATAGTTAAAGTTGCTTGTTCAGTATTAATTTTATATACAAATTATAATTTGTAATTTTTAGATTAAAACCAAAATTAGTTAAACTTTAAACATTAAACTTTTCAAATGTAATTTAATGGAGAGTATTACCTTCGATGTGTTATCACCTTGAACTTCATCTTGCAAATCTCTAATTTGTAAATCTAATTTAGTCTTTTCTCTAAGAATTTGCTGCTGTTCAGCTGACAACACATCTCGCTCTTCTTTGCATGATGCTACTTCCTTCTTAATATCCTTCAAAGATTTAACTATAGATTTTATTTTATCTTGTGCATCTGATACCATTTTATTGTATTCTTTCTGAACTTTATCTGAGTTTTGATGTCTTTTTTCAAGCTAAAAACAAAATCTGATCTATTAAAGTGCTTCTTGTATAAACTGTTACAAACAAAATCAATAAATTAACATTTCCAAGCAGGTATAAATGGATGTTATTAGTCAATTAGTGTAATAAAATAAGCTAATAGCCGGGTAAAGTAAATAATTTGTACATTTTTCTTATAATTAGGGAAATCATATTTAGACACTTACCTCCTCCATTTTAGCTCTCGTCTCATTAAGCTCAGTTTCATGAATTTTAAATTCCAATACTCTTCTTGTCTTGTCCCACTTTTGATATTCAACTAGTTCTTCTTTCTCATCTTCTAGTGTTTTTAAGCGATCATCAATTGTTTTCAAATATTCAGCAATTTTCTCAATCTAATCCAAATGTATTTAACAATTATTGAGTAAATTAAATTATTAAAACATATAATAACAAGAAATACAATATAAATATCGCAAATGAATAAAATGAATAAATAATAAAGTTAATAAACGTTTATTAATTATTTATCAGTTATGGTGTTCACTTACACAATTTTAGTGTTTTATAATAAATTTTATGTTTTTGTGTTTTTCCTGGTTTGATTACTGAATGATAACACATATTAAGTGTTGAAACACTTAATAAATAACTCTTCTATATTAACCCCTTTTTTAAACCGACAATTGGGCTGCTAAATTACTTCAAATATATTATATATTCTGAGATACATGAATTATTGTTAATTACCTTCCCTTCCGTATCTTTCAAAATTGCCATTGATTCCTCTCTCCTCTCATCATACACACGAGTTCCTGCTACTTCTCGTAATAATTTTAATCTATATGCATCTGGTGCAATAGCCATTTGGTTTATCTGAAACAAATTTTAAATATATGCTAAAGCAATTAAAACAATTTTAGTATTTTCTTGTTATTAATAATGTTTTTCATTTACCTTTCCCTGTCTCACAATGTAGTATGGATTAGAATTAGAAAACCCTGCAGATTCCAATAAATTCATCACTTCTGATCTTGGAACCAATTTTTTATTCAGATACAATTGATCTTTCTTTGATCCTATAACGCGCCTTAGAGAAATTTCATCCTTCTCAATCTAAAGTGTTTATAGTATTTATTATAAGATTATTGTAAATAGAAATAGTAAATAGGAATGCTGCTACAAAATCAAATTTAACACAAATTTAAATAGAATCATATTAATAGTCTTTTCAAGTTTTAACATAATAAAAAATTCAAAAATAATTTACAACATTCAAAACAAATATTAAAAATTTCCTTAGTTAATTTGTAGTAAATTAAGCTTATGAAAAAGCATTTTCCATTAATTAAGCAAACAAAATTAAATATCAATTCTGTGATTGAAAACTTATTTTGAGTAGATAAAAGATTAGAAATTATATTAATTTTGCAATTTTTATGTGTGATTAAAATCATGTCACAGAAAGTTTTCTACATTATTGCCGAAAATGAAAACTGACAATGTTAATTGTGTTAATTTTTCTTTTAACGAAAAGAGACAATATCTTTTCTGACTTTAAAGTCTTTTTACAAAACAATTCCAGCACATAATTTGTATACACATATATCATATGTATTTTTCTATTTACCGGTACACGATTATCCGAATTATCAAAAACTATTTCAACATGGGCTAAGAGTACCCTAGGTCCAGCACCCTCATGCAAATAGGCTTGTCTTTGGTCTGGTCTTAGATGACAGAAATCATTACTTAGCACAAACTCAATAGCTAAAAATGATTTCACTTTTAGTGCAAAAATAGTAAGATCAACAATTAAATTTTATTGGAAGTGTATTATACCAGAAAAGAAATTGCTTTTTCCAGATCCATTTCGACCAACAACTACATTATGACGTTTATCAAAGGGTTCAACAACAGTTTGTTCCCTATAACTTTTGAAGCCTTGTATAATAACCTATAGAAAAAAACAAGTTATGCAAAGTTTAAATGTGAAAAAAATGTATGTCACAAATATGGATTTAAAAAAGATTAAAAACTACCTGCTTGATATGCATATTGAACAGGACATTTACTCAATTTAATAAAAAATTTATGTCAGAACAAGTGCACTAATAACGAATACTAAAAAAGTTTTCACCTCGGTTTAGTATTCACGTACGCAAAATATCAAAATATGCATATCAAAATAAATGGCGGCATATTGACCATAAACAATCATTTAACCTACGCCATAGAGACTCATTTGATATGATTTGATTTGATTTCTGACTCGTTAGGGTTTGTTCGATAGGTTTTGTTAAAAAGAAAAAAAAATGATTCGATAAAGATAATGTAGAAATTGTTAATAAAATAATAAATAATTGTTAACCATAATGCCATAGATGCATCCGTAATGCAGATTTTATATTATATTTTTTGTTGGTTGCTCTGCATCAATGGTTGAATTTAAATTAAAATTGCTAGGAGAAAATATAAACTTTATCGTAACATCTGATGATATCATAAAACAGCCTCAAATCTTGATGCATTTTGACCTTAACTATAATATGACCTGAATAAAATGAATGAAAATATTCCTAATATATATATATATATATATATATATATATATATATATATATATATATTAACAAAGTCTAATAATCGGGCATAACATCAATAAAAAACATGAATTTCTTTCAAACATTTATTTTAAATCCATACGTTTCGGCTATAATCCTAGCCTTCATTCAGTGGAAACTAAAAATAAAATTAAAAACTAAAACAATTGAATTGGAGTGAAAAGAAAAAAATAAAATAGTAATTAGTACTTACAATTAGTTGATCTTAGTGTTAAATTGGAAAATTTTAATAATTCATGGTATTAGGATATGGTAATGCACTACACTATGTATTATAATTTATATAATATATATATATACATTATTTTCATATCTCAGTCAGGCAGAGTTGCCTGGTATGAGAGATTATGAACTGATATATTAAATACAAATTTTAATAATATTATTAAAGAGTAAATTATGACTTTATTACAAAAAATGTGTGAGAGAATAATAGCAAAGTAAAGTAAGTAATAATACTATAAAAAAGATAAATATATGTTTTTATTGGCTTTATAAACAAGTACATTGACCATAAATACATGTTACACTCATAATTAAAAGCTATAAGCGTTAGTATCTTTTATTGGGCCACAGTGCAATACCTTTAATCTGGTGTGTACAGTATATAGATAGATAGAAAATAAATATAGATATTAAACTGTGTTTAATTAAATATTTACAACATATAATTTATAAATATATGCTTAGAAAAATACTTGTAGCAGCATTAAAATTAACATATCAAGCATTTGTTTTCATAAAAATTAAAAACTGTTTCATTTATATGATGAAACTATGATCGTAAGGCTTGCAGGCGACTCTGCATTTCTTCTAAATCTTCTTCTGGTACATTATCAGCTTCTTTGGATTCTGAAGGTCCTGCTTCTGCAATGGGCGGAGCTGGGGCCTCTCCCAATTTGCCAGCAGTTAATTCCCACAGGACCTTACACAAAAATTTGATTTGCTCATAATGTTAAATTAGATCAAACTTGTAAGATAGGATAGCTAATATGATTTATTGATAGATTAAATTAAGTGGAAACAAATTTCCATTTTTGTTTGCATCTAATAAAAACCTTGTCATAACAATTTGATATGTATCTTTCATATACATACAAAATTCTGGAGTCATGGTGTTATGTGCCATACTTCGAAATGGCTCAAATGATAATTATTAATATTGAGTAAAACCGACAAATGGCTAACCTCTATTTAGCCCCAACAATAAGTGGAAAGAATTGACCAACCCTCACATTTTTTTAAATTTTTGAATCATGTTTTCATTTAATGTTAATTTGACCTAGTTTTGCATTTATTAAACTTTAATAAAATCATGTACTTCAAACTTCTAGTGTTGTACATTTAAAGAAATATAAATATTTCAGGAAAAAATACTATTTACATATTAGTTTTGGCAGGGATAGAAAAAAGTCACCATAATAATAATTAAATAAACATTAACCTTATCAATCTCAGACTGCGCTTCATCTTCAAGTTCATCTTGATCTTCCAAGCTATCCATTGTCTCTTCCATCATTTCTTCAATAATACCAGCTTTCATCATTTCTTTGGATAAATCCCTCATCGTTGCGGCAACTTCAGGTAATTTTACTAATGCTTGCATTGCTTGCATTACCTAATATTATTGTGGTAACAGATTACTTAGAAATCCTCTAAGCTATTGAATTAATTGCTAAAATAATACTATACTATGACAAAATACATACCTCAGTAGATTTTGATAATGAGCCAGCAACACGTAAAGTAGCTAAAATAAATTAATGAAAAAAATACTTATGTAATAATTAATTACTTATATATTTATATTTTAAAATCTAACCTAATTGGTTCTTCATTTGGAGTTGTACTGAATTCAGATGTGCTTTACTAGTATGTATTTTATTTATAGCTTTTCGAGATCTAATCACCTCTTTGGCCAAAATTGTGCAAACTTGTTTATCATTTTTAGCTGCGGCATCTTTTAATGATCTCTTAACTTTTTCTTCTTCACGCTGTATTGCTAAAATATGAAATGGAAAATATATTGTGATTTTCTTAACTCATATTCATATTCAATTTCATAACAATTTACTGAAAATTAAATATATCTCAATTGTCATATTGCATTAAGCATAATCTATGTTTCCCCACATTAAGCACATTTAACAATTAATTAATGATAGAAAATAATTACATTACCTCGTATTTGTCGATCCAATTGATAGCTTTCCTTCCTCAATTTGTGAGTCCATTCATTTACCTTGTATGTATTATAAGCAATATTACATTTCAAAAAAAGATATAAAATTAATTAACAACATGGAAAATAGTAAATAATTACCATTTCTTTAGGATTTCTTTCCGGTGATTTACCAAAAAGCCCCATTTTAATAAGTTATATGAATTATTTCAAACACTTCTGCATTAAACATAATTGACAGTACAATTTTGTTTGACGTTTGACATTACGATATTATGTTTCCTCTCTTGCACGTTGGTAGTAAATAACTAACGGCGGTATTAGTTTTAATGCTTGCCGATAGTGTCGTGATAATCATTTTAATTTAGATTCTCTTCTTTTATCTATGAATGGAATGTCATGGACAACGATATAAATCTTATCTATGGTTTTGAAAATAATCCGTTTGTACCGTATTTTTTGGGCGGTTAGTTAAGTGACGCTTGAGATGCCTAGATTCTAGACAACATAATAAGGCGTAAACAATATAATAATATTGAGATGTAACTTGTAGTAATTGTTATTGAAAAATAAGTTTAAAATGTTTTAATTTAATTTGTGTATAAAATATAAGTGTTCTTTTACAGAAGTTGTGGCAGCGAAGTTTTTTCGCTTAGCTTAAGTAAGTGTAAAATTGAGACTTCTAACCAAGCGTTAGAAGTTTTTGAGTGATAAAATTTTTTGGCTTTTATATTACTTTCAATTGTTCTTTTTGATAAAGGAAAAATTTGTGTTTGAATAGACCTATAGCATCTCTATAAACTGAGAAAGTATTTATTATATTACATCTGTAAATATATTGTGTTTTATAGTATGGCTTTAAGTGGAGCAAACCTTGTACACCTGAAGAAAGGAGTTCCGGATAAAAAACTAGAAATAATCAGTGATGATGTCACTATAGGGTCTGATTTGAGATGCACAGTGCGAATACACAAAGCTGATGTTGAGCGTAAGCACTGTACAATTAAAAGGAATGGATCAAAGGTAGATTGAAGTTTAATTCATGTTTATACTATTGTTTTGACCACATTGACCACTCCCCGTAGTTTAATTCAGCTCATGACTTTGTACTTTTTACATTATACTTAATCGATGAACACAATTTCATTTCTATAGAGAATTTAGCTACAGATAAAGGGCCTCAAAATTACAAATTCCACATCTATCTTTGTATATAATATTATAATACATTTTTATATTTTAGGTCATTTTGAATAATTGTTCACAGTCAACAAATATATTGGTCAATGATAAATTAGTTTTATCAGATATTGAATTAAAAGATAATGATGTGCTATCAGTAAGCAATAGAAAGTTCTTGTGGAGTTTCAATGCTTCAAATTTTAAAAATAAATACAGACGTATAACAACATTTTCAAATCGTGGACGGAATAAGACAAACCAAAAAATAGATGGAAGGGAAAGGAAAAGTTTACCACTCAGTGCTTACTTACCTATATCAGCAGGTATACTATTAGTATATTTTATATTATTCATATCAATTATTATAAATCAGTTGTTTCCAACTTTTTCGTGCACCATACATCAACATTTTTTTCTGACAATCATCTAATTTCATAAATGCACTGATGTTATAATTTATCTCACAGTCTCATGCCCCCTTCTAAGCAAGTGCATCTCTCTGATTGATAATCGATGTATTTTATGAAAAATTTTAATATGTACTTGAATATTTTTAGAGAGTCCTGAAAAGCAAATTGCTATAGTGAAGCCTTTACAGAGTGCTCCGGTTGAAGATGTATTTTTAATGGAAGCTGCAGGCAGTTACAATAGGTAAGCTTTAAAATGTGAATATATTAAAAAATGGCGAACTTGAGTATCATGTTGTGTATCACACACACATATATATATATATATATATACATATATGTATATATATATATATATATATATATGTATGTATGTATGTGTGTGTGTGTGTGTGTGTGTGTGTGTGTATATATAAATATGTACATCTATAAATATATATCTTGAACTTTTGGTTTCAGTTCAGTAATAGGTGGTCAAAATGTTGTTTCTAAAAATTTGGTGCAAAAAAATTCCAATACATTAAATTTAATCAAAAAGACTCCTAGAAAATCAACAGGTATAATTATTATTTGTGAAGTACTACTTTATAAGTATGAATTAATAGTATATTATTGTTTCTGAACAGGTGCCAGATCTAGTAGATCAAAGATTTTGGAAAAATTATCTCACAGTGCTCCTAAAACTAGGGATGGAAACAAAATGAGAATGAGTCAAAGACACTCTTTAGCTGCTGTAGTCCAAACCATCAAAGATAGCATTAAAATTGTTAACACTAACATAAAGCGGAATAAACCAATGAAGAAAGCTACTAGAAAATCTATTTCGCAAAACAAGATTGTTGCTAAAACAGCAGTAAAACGCAAATTTAGTGAAGAAGAAGTTATTAATTTAAATAATAAGAAGAGAAAACTTAATAGCCCAGTAATAGGTTTGTGGTCAATGTATAAAATAGGTTACAATAATGTTTCATTATTTCATTCCAATATGACATGTTATAGATGCCAAGAAGAAAGCAGCACTTATGGTTTTGAAAACTGGGGAGCAAAACCACATCAAACCAGCTAAGTCATATCCACAACATCAGTATGCTCTAGTAAGTTCAATATTTCAAGCTGGACTATTTACTGTTATACTTTATACATATTTGCATTTATTATTATATTCAAGCTTCACTTACCTATTGTCGTTCGAGTTGCGAGAACTTTCTAATAAATAGAAATCATTTTATAAAAACATTAAATTATATGTTAATACTATCCAGATATATATACTCTCCAGATAATTAAATAAATATGTTAATTGAAACATTAAATTTGCCAGCTAGAGTATAGCCTCTATGTACATAATTAATACATATTTTTAATGAGTTTTTTAAATCCATTTTTAGAAAGTCCCAAACAGTTTTAGTTTCGGACCAGTTGCTAGCAACTTCGGTACTGGCAGTGAAAAAACAGACAAGAAAAATAATTCAATTAATGAAATAAAAGAGAATGCAATTGGAACTGAAGGTAAGATAATTTAACAATTAAGTATCATACATTATTTTTATGGTATTTTCTTTCTAATACATTTTTATTTCAAAAGAAGGCACACACAATTGTGAAGTTAAATCAAGCCTCTTAGAAAACAACAAGAAAACATTGAGAAGGTCTTCAATGAGATGTAACACTTCCAAGACAGAAAATGACAACATTGAAAGCAGAGGTATGAATGTTTATTTATATTGAAGGATAACCCCTATATCATGGTACTTCTATAACCCAGATTCATTCTGTATGATTCACAGATTTATGTTATATAATAATAGGTTTTGAGAATATCTCTCTTATAACTTTACAATACTACTTAGCACGGTTTGACTCTAACAGGGTTCAAGAATTGGAGAAAACCCTAATAAAATGAGTAATATAATAGAAGCTATTATAAACTTGATCATTACCAATTTAAAGTTATACATGTTGTGTGGAAGTTACATGAGCTTTGCCTTTTCTGCAGAAATAAGATTTTGTCACAGATTTATATACAAAATTTATGTTTGAAAGTCAGTTTATACATGTTATTGAAATTTGATTAACGGAATATTTCATTTTCATTTTCATGTGAATAAGAATATATGCTTGTATTCGTGGTTCTAACATATTTTAATATTTTGAAAATAACTGAAGTGCAGTGGAATGCAAACAAATATGCAATTTTCATCGTTTAAATAAATAAATAAAATGTACATAGCAAATAAAAGACTTTTAATCAAATGCATTAATAATACATTGATACATTTCTCTAACTCTTTCAGAACAAAATATAGTGGCTTCAAAGAACAAAGATTGCATGAGAAAATCTTCAATACAGAGTGGTTTGATTGAACCAGCATTTAAACAATCTTTGAAATATTTTGATAAAAGAAAATCATATTGTACTGATGTTGCAACAAAAATCAAGAGAACTAATAAAATGCTAAATAGGTCTTTGGATTCTCAGGATTCTCAAAGTTCAGCTATAGATATTAAAAGTGCCATTAATAATTTTAGTGAAATAGATGAAAAAAGCATGCATTCTACTAAAAAAGATGGATCTTTTGCTATTGATAACACAGAAGATTCAATTTTGAAACCATCTCTAATTGAACAAAGTACATTGCTGGATTCAGAAGGGGAAATTAATGATCATCTTCCAGACACAAGTTCTAAGATAATCAAATTGAAAAGTGCACCCATTGCTGTTGAACCAACCATTCAAAATAATTCATTGTCAAGAAAATCTATAAGAAGGTCAATTAGAGCATCACCTGCAAAGGATTTAATAAAAGACAGAAACAATGCTACAAATGCAAAAAAAAATGTACAAAAAGAAATATCACAATCACCAACATATTCTTTGGAAAATAGCAAAACTGAAAGTTCTTTTGTCAGCGATGAGGATAATGTGAACACTGGAAGTAAATCCATTTTTTACTTGGATAATTCAGTGACTGAAAATTCTACTGTAGACCCACAATTTAATGAATCTTTAGAGAATATAAATTCCAATTTCTGTAAAAAGAGATTTGTTAATTCACAAAATAAAAATGGGAAGGTAAGTAGTAAAAGTTATTTGGTTGAAAAAAAATGAGTTTTTTTTTTCTAAAAATTAATAGTCAACTTTAATTACTTCAAATCTAAATTAGTTTTTCCATTTTATTTTCAGACGCCTAGAAAATCAGGTTTGTTCAATCGAAGTTTGAAAAAAATTGCTGAAGAAGTGAGTACACAATCAGATGTCTTAGAAGAGGCGGTAGGAAAAAATAAGATAAGATTATCAATGAAAAGAACTTCTCTGAGAAATTCTATTAAAAAAGTGAACACCAATGAATCTGAAATACTTGTTGATTTAAATATGAGTGGGCCACAATCGGAAAGCTTAATCTTAGAGGATTCATCTTTAAATGACACTGTTTTTTTGAATTCTAGCCAGGAAATATATAACAGCACTAGTCAATTAAACATTTCAATTCAATCTACTGAAGAAACAAATGCCAATGTTAGTAAAGCACAAAACGCAAGTATACAAATTAGTGCTGCCGAAAATGATTTGATTTTTGAAGGATCTGAAAATTCAAAAATACCTTCAAAAGTTGCAGAAATGTCACTCCGGATTTCATCTTTACAAGAAAATAATGTGGAAGTCCATAATGATTTAAATAAATCTGAAATTGTAATGAAAACAAAAACTAAAAGAGCATCTTCAGTGAACACAAAATCTCTAAACAATTCATCAATAACTAATCTTCTTCCAGAAGATAATGTTAATATTAGCCACACGGATAATGAATTTAATATCAACGAAAGTAAATCAAATAGCAAAAGATCATCTGTATTGAATAGAAAGTCTTTGAGAAATTCTGTGACAATCAAAACAACCGAAGAAATAAATGCTAGTGATGATTTAACTGTAGAATTTGATCATCATAATCAATCAGACTATTTATATCCTAAGACCAAGGAAGAGACATTATGCAAAAGTATGAAGGTACAAGACAATGTAAAATCTCCTGTGAAAAGATTTTCTTTAAAAAGTGTGCATGGTGTTCAAGAATTAGGCATTAACAATGACCATATAAACCAAATTAATGAAAATTTAAACATAGCAAGTTCAGTAAAGCAGAAAAGATTGAGCAATTATATTATAGACTCTGTTCAAGAGCCAAGTGATATTGAATTAAGCCAATCAGATATCGAATTAAGTACTCATGAAATTCATTTAGATGATGCACCCATTTTTGATTCGGAACATCGTGATGAAAATAATCTGAAAGATTCAGGCTTGCATAACAATTCCAGATTAGAAAAGTATTCCAACAATTCTTTTAAAACTCAGAAGAGAAATTCTGCAAGAATTTTTAATACAAGGAAATCATTAAGTGCCTTGACATCAGGAAAATCACTTTGCAATAGTGATGTACTAATAAATACATCTCTACCTTGCCCAAGCCTAAAAACATCAGATCAATTGCATGATGGTTTATTGAATAAAATACAAAAATCTCATCTGAGTATGTCTAATAATACCTTTTCTTCGAGTGATTCCTTGAGTCATATGACAAATATGAATGAAAAATTAATAGAAGATAATACAAACTCAATTAAGAGAAATTCTTTAAGAGTTTCTAATGTTAATTCTTATGTAAACCAATTAGATGGCAAATTGAATACTAGTGAACATCTATTAAAGGACCTTAATCAAACATTAATGGAATCATCTCCATTACAAACAAAATCAGTGAACAATTCTATAAATCTTGACCAAAATGCAACAAATGTTCAAGGTGATGAAATAGTAGTTGTAAATGAATCGATACTGTCTGATAAATCAATGCTTGATACTGCGGAACAAATAATTGATTATACAGATGAAACACTTTCCAAATATAATGTTTCTTATCCAGAAGATGATGCAGAGACTACATCAAGGAAGTCATTAAGGAGTGGAAGTCGTGCTGCGAGTGCTGTTAAACATATATTATTAAATCCTATTAACCAAAATGTATCTATGAATCACAAAACCAGAAGAAAATCTTTACAGTTTTTGCCCTCGAAAAACCCACAATATCAAAAACAAAAATTAAATGCATCTCTTCCTTTCAAATTAAATTCAAGAAAATCGAAATTGTTGAATCAAAGTCTGAATAATGGACTCAAAATGAATACTAATGAAAGAAAATCTGAGAGCATGACTACTTTAAGCGATATTGAAAATCAACTGGAAAACACAAACACAACTTTACCTGATATTCTAAGCGAAACTTTTTAACTTCAGAATTATGTCAGCATACAAGTCTCAATAATAGTAATCCAGCAAATTATGAAAGTTTGCAAGCTGAAGAGATTGAACCATCTTTAAGATTGGACCAAGAAACTAAAATAAATATTTCAAGTAACAGAATAATTTCTGATAGGTCTCACATAGAAAACATTGTGAATAATGCTGAATTTTGTGAAATGAGTGCAAATACAAGTTTCCAATTATTGAAAATTAACAATTCAAAAAATCGTTTTTCAAAGCGTAAGTCATTGGAGGCTGGACTTGTAGAAGATTCTATAAAGTTATTGAGAGAATCAAGAACATCAGATGTTTTGAATGATATGCAGAATGTATTAATAAACAAATCTGGTATACAGATGAAAGATGCATTAGAAAGTTCAAACAAATCAAATGTAAATTCTAGAAGGTCCTCTAGAATCTCAAATGCTTCTGTTGACAAAAAATCTATGCTTCTGGAGAGTACAAATAATTTAACACAAGATCAACCAAGTTGCCTGTCTTATAGTACTCATTCAGTTGTTGATGAAAACTTTGTGCCAGAAAATGCAAGCAAGACAAAATCTTTTAACATGTCTGTTAATTTGATATCCGTTGAGAAAAAACCAATTTCAAATAATTTAAGGAAAAGTGAAATTCCAATAAGAAGGGTTGGAAGAAATAACAAACTATCACACAACCTTACATTGCCTGCAAGAGGTAATATACAAATTGGTACAAATATGTGCTCTACTCCTATTGTTAATAAAATTTGTATTTTACCTAAGTCTGTGGTTTCACAATCCAAGTCTATGCAAAATTCCATCATAAATGATATAGAAAATATATCATTTATAGAAAAAGAAGTTACACCAGAAGCAAATAACTCTAATTCATTACTCTCAGGGGTTAATTATGAATCCACACCTGTTTCAACCATGAAATTAAAACGAAATAATGTTGAAGAATCAAATATCAATTGTTTAGAAACTGCAGACAGTCAAGCTAGTAAACCAAACGATGAAAATGATGATGAATCTATTACTCCTAAAACATCCATTAAAATTATTCCTGATGTTGCTAAAAAACTGCATTCTACTGCAAAGAAATCCATTTCTCGACGCACATTGAATACTGAGAAAACTGTGCATCCATTGTCAATAATAATAAACAGTAATGTATCACTGAATGATCTACAGAAATCTGAAGACAATATATTTAAAGATGACATAACGAATTTGGAAAAATCAGATATTTCAAAGAAGAGAAGCTGTTCTAAAGTGACATTCCAAGATGTGAGCAGTAGAAATGTGGATAATATTCACCATTTATCCAAATCCCCCAAGAATGACTTAACAAATGTATCTGGTATAAAACATTTGTTTAGACAACAAGGAAATGTTCAATCCCCTAAAAATGATCTGACCACTGTAGTTGGCTTAAGAAGAATGTCTGATGAACGAAAGCATGTATCTCCCAAAAATAATTTAACAAATATCTCAGGTGTAAAGTACTTGTTAAGTCCCTCAAATTCAAGTCAAATCACACTAAAAGAAATGTCTTTAGGAAATGTTTCCCAAATAGATGTTGCAGAATCAAGTTTTGGAAAACATTCTTCAACTCCATATGTTGAAGTCTGTAACAAATCTCAAAAATGTATCAAACCTAAAAATGCTACAATGACCTGGGGTAAGCGCAGATGCTCATTGGGAAAAATGAAACCAATGGTCAGAGGCCGCAGGCTATATTCTGAGACGGATATTTACATGCGAAATTCAAATGATTCTGCAATATCATATGATAATACACAAATAATAAATGAAGTTTCTCATCCAGCGATAACAGAACCATTGATTGATTCATCAAAACCATTTAAAAGAATTATAGACCCAGTTTTTGCAAAATTATCTGCAAAAAAACTAAGACGTAAAAATTTTGGCAAATCTTCTAAGGCTGGAAATGAAAAATTAAAGAAGTCTAAATTAACAACTATTGATTGTCAAAATGATCATATTATTGATAAGTGTGCTGTTTTACTAACTCCATTGAAAAATGTCGAGAATTATTTAGTTGCTTGTGATAGTTTAGTAAACGTTCAACACTTAGAGACTATGGAACAAGAAGAAGACATTTTAAGTATAAATAATGAAAATAGAAACGAAACCATAAATGGTGAAGATAAAAGTCATGCAACGTATACTTCAGACAAGAGTGTAAGAAGAGGACTACGAAATAAAGGTAATCAAAGAGGAAATGATAATAGTAATATGAAACATGAAAATAATATTGAAGAAACAGAACAACCAATAAAAAGATCAAGTGAGAAGAAACAATCTAATAAAGAAGAGACTGATAACAAAGCATTTGACACTTTTGAGGCACAAAGTAGTACAATTAACAATGAAATCGAACAAGAAGTATCAGCAGGTGTTACTAGGGTATTAAGGAGAAAGACAACAAAGACCAATAAAAAGGAGAATAAAACACCAGTAAAAAGAAATAGGAAAAGGAAGCAAAATGATGCTGTAATAAATTCAGATAGCAACCAACAGAATGAAGATGCAAAAATTGAAAAAGGAGAAAAACAAAATATTGCTACTGAAAGAGAGGAAAGAACTCATAACAATAAAGGAAAGAGCGAAATTAACAATTCTGGAGATATGCAATCAGAAAGTTTGAATATGGAAACAAACGAAAACTTTGTAAAAGATGTTAAAAAACTTGGAAAAGGAAAAAATACTATGCAAGTAAATGATAATGATAAGGTTTGTACACCTGATATTGGAAAAAACAGCATGAAGAATTTCAAAGATGAGGTACTAAATAAGGTGGAATCACTTGAAGTTGAAGTAATTCCAAAAAGAAATACAAGGAATGCTAAGAAAATGGTAGCAAATAATATCAAAGTTAAAAACCAAGTAAAAGAATCCACAGAAGATGATGCTACATCTTCAAGTGCAATGGATATTAAAAATGGAAAAGAAAATGATAATTCATTTACTCAAGAAGCAGATGAAATTCCCAAAAGAAGTACAAGAAGAACAAAGAAATCTACAAGGCAATGTGACACTTTAATAATCAAAGGCAAGGAACAAAAAGTAATTGATGCAAACTTAAAACAAGAATTAAATAAAGAAAAATCCAAAACCACTGATGTTAATAAAGATGCTACCAATGTAGAGCACAAAGATATAAATACAAGCGAAAGAAATGCACCTACACGAAAGACAAAACGTGGTATCACAAATTTAGAAAACACCCCAGTGGTAGTCCACTCTCAGGATGTAGATAATATGTCTCAAACTGAAACATTGGCAGAGAAAACAGCCACAAGATCAAGAAAAGGAAAAGCAGACTCAAATGATAACCTGCAAGAAGCCAAAACTACAGAAAATGGAGATACTTCAACAAAGAGATCCAGAAGAGGGAAAGTAAAAGAACAAAATTTTGATGAGGCCCAAACGAAGAAAACACTTACCAAACAAACAAGAAGTAAAACTATAATTAATGAAGAAACAGATGAAATGCCTCGAGAACAAGCAATTGTGACACCAGCCAAGAAACAGACGAAAATAAATACAATATACAAGGAAGAAGATGAGGGGCAAGAACTTCTAGAGAAAAATGAAATCATTAAAGAAACAAGTAAAAGAAATCTGAGAAAACGAAAGCATCAAAATATAACTGAAACCGATAAAACAGGAAAGGAAGATCATAAAATGAATGAAACAGATCAAAAGATGGCTGAAAATGTATCAAAAGAAGTTGTAGAAAATGAGAGTAATATCAAAGTATCAGACCAGGCGAATAAGAAAATCCCAGTTGTGAAAGGATCTAGAAGAGGAAAACAAAACAAAGCAATTGATGAAGAAAATGAAAAACATGAAATCGAAAAACAAACAAAAGAGAATTCTAAAAGTTCAACAAAGAAAGTGAAACAAGTACAAAGTGAAAATACAAAAGCAATCGACAATCAATCCGATCGCCAGGAACATAATCAAAATGAAGTTTTGCCTAGAAAAAGAACCAGGAGAGGCAACCAAAAGAAAGAGGAGGAGGAGGAAGATGAACATGAAATTAAGCCTATTCCTCAAAAACGGTCCGCTCGTTTGAAGTCTTCAAGCAATAAATCTGAAGAAAATCAACATGAAGCAGAATCAAAACCAAAAAGAAATCTTACAAAAGTTGCACAAAAAGATATAATAGATAATGATTCTGCCAATAAAGTTCCAACCAGAAATACAAGAAGAAAAGTTCAGAAAAAATAATATTGATAGATTTTATTATATAGATATATTTTTTAATATTATTTGTGCTAATTAATATAGAATGTATGATTTTAAAAATTCACTTAACACCTTTTTTAAAAATATGGTAGAAATAAGACAGTTATTAGTATAGTCTTAAGAGTTGTACTGAAAATTGTAGTACTTTTTATGTTTATACAACTATACATCTAATAAATTAATTTTTTTTAAATGTTCTTTCTTTCATTCACTTTACTTTTGTTTTATCAGATATATGTTGTATTTATGGAGCTTTGATGATTTCATAATTATCATACTTTCTAAATGTTATTGCTGTCTTTTCTTTAAACATTTTTCTTTTGCATTATAAAATCTTAACTAGTTGGTTTGGTATTTAGCCTTGATGCAAGTTACATGAACTTCCCGATATGTGTAAATAATCGACTTAATCAATAAAAAATAAATTAATTTATGAGTGATTAAAAGTATTCCGGTTGGATTTATTACGCTTTATTGAAAACGAACAAACACTTTTGTAAAAGCAAATTTTCAAAAATCAATATTTTTTTAATTGAACTAGTTTCCTTGGACTTTAATGATTTATTACACTTATTAAGACCAAGTACTCTAACGTTATACCAAGTAAATCGTCTAATTTTAATTTTAACAAACGTCAAAAAAACTACTAATTTTCTCAAACTTTGATGAATTTTTAAAATTAAACTACTTGTCGTAAAGCCGTAATAGTTCAGTAAGTTCTATAAGACCATGGTATATATCGCCAAAAAAAGTTCCATAAACATCTAGGTCTTAATAGACCTCACTTCCATAGACATAGGTCTTAATTTTTTTTTCAACAGTTAATTACAAGAAAACGGCTCGGTAGATTTTCACCTAAAACTAATCAGTATCATTTCCAACTAAGATTTTAATATCTTTCGAACAGTTTTTGATTTTTTAAAATCGGTTCGGTAGTATGAGCTTAAATGTGGACGAAAGGTTTAACACTTTTTTTCAAATTTCAAAGAAACGGCTTGGCCGATCGTCGCACAAAAGTGACGAGCGATAGTCCTCATTGAGACACATCAAATGGTTTTTAAATTTCTGAAATCGGTTCAGGCGTTTTTGAGCAATCGTCGATGAAAGGTCTAATTTTGACAAATGCCAAAAAAACGATACTAATTTTTGCAAACTTTAACGAATTTTTAAAGCTAAACGAGTTGTCGTAGGGCCGTAATATTTTAGTATGATCTAGAAGACTATGGTATCTACCGTCAAAAAAATAATAATAAAAATCGTCGAAAAAATTTTTTTAACACTTTATTACAAGAAAACGGCCCGGCCGATCTCTACCAACAACTCATCAGCACGATTCCCAATCAATATCTTTCGAACGGTTTTTGAATTTTCAAGATCGATTCAGAACTGCGGGCTAAAACGTGGACGAAAATTTTTTCATTTACAAAGAAACGGCTTGGCTGATCGTCGCTCAAAATTGATAAACGCTAGCCCTCATCGAGATACATCGAATGGTTTTTAAATTTTTAAAATCGGTCCAGCCATTTTTGAGAAAACGTCGATTTACGGAAAAAAATCTGTTCACACACACACACACATACTTTTTCCAAATTTGGTCTCATTCGATTCAGAATGGCTTGAAACGTCGAGAAAACATAAAATTAGCGAGTCGGATTTTTTGATGAAAACATAAACTTCTCCTTCGGGAAGTTAAAAATCAATATAATAAAAATACTGTAAAACATCTTTGTATATCACCCATATTGTAATGTAAATTAAAAACTACTAATTGAAAATTAAAATTTGTGGGTTCATGTGCAAGCTTAATTATGTATATATTGAGAACCAGATGAAACGAATTTGAATGATTTGAATAATATCAACATTTCATTTGTATTACTGATATGAAGAGTTTATACTAAGAAATAATTGAGTATATGATCTAATAGTTTGTTTGGGTGTGAAACTTGCTTGATTTTTGGGAACAGGTCTGGGAGATACGTCGGAAAAAATGCACAATGACAATGACATATGCATAATCTTAATTATAGGGATCATCTCTGCAAAAATATATGCTAAAGACGTAATTAATCTTTAGCAACACTTGCAAAGTTGAAATAACCAGTAAGTCAAGAATAGCAAATATAAAATGACATGATATGCTATTACATAAGTCCATTTTAATAGGTTGAAAAATATTCAGCAGACTTTTATAATATATAGAAAATATACAACTTTTTAACCATTTACAAAAGTAATGTACGAGAACAAAAAAATATTAGGATAGGAATAGGAGAATAGAAATAATACCGGAATATACTTTTCACAAGAGTACTATGAAAACTGTTGGAAAAAACTTATGAAGTAAAGACTGATTGAAAGAAAAGAAATGCGTTTATATGTAAAATGATTTTAATTACTTACTTAGTTTTAATACTAATATATTCCAATAAATTTAATGTGATTTATTTCACTTCACTCTTTTCTGTTGCCTTTGCCGATATATGTCGTGCGTTGGTGGTGCTCCATTGATGTCGTCGTCATCACTGTCTTCTCCGCCTACTTTTCTTCTTTTCTGTAAAATCAAAAAGATTTAACTTAGCAATTCTCTATGAAATTGCTATTATCATTTATAATTATACACAATTTCTGTAAATACCCTTATCATTCCATTTGTATCATCCACTATCCAATGAACTGATTTTGCCATGTCAAATTGCCTTGCCTCAGAGCTATTCAAATCATGAGTTGGCCTCTGAACTGAAATTTTTAGACAAGTATGTTTAGCAAGTATGAACAACGAATCGAGAATAATGCTATATCATTGTTTACCAGTATAGTTTATCATTGTTTGTACAAGTTTTCTTTTCAAATATAAACATTCCCAAGTAGTTTTTATTTTGTCAATTTAAATTCAAATTTCATTTCATCAAGCGTTTTTACAGTGATTAAAATTTACTAATGCTATACATACCACTGTTTGCTAAAGCCAGCCGATCCAAATGTTCCAATAATAAATCTATACTAACAAATGGACCATGGAAGCAAGATGGTGGAGGCAGTTCAGCAGTAAGTTGAGCTAATCCTGGCGGCATAGGAAATACTCCACCTGGAAACAATAATATTTCATTACTGTTACTAACTATAATTCGCACCGCAAATACAAATGGAATGGTTAAACAAATAAAATAAAATTTATATAATCTTTGATATCACATAGACTCACCTGGAATAGGATGATCTCCGGGCACTGTATTGAACTTTGGTTTATATGGTATCATCTGTGAAAAATCTGGTCTTGGAATAGCTGATTTGTCATCACTGTCAAAATTTAATACACCAGATACCGACTTCTGTCCAACTAAACTGCTGGTAGCTGATAGTATCTATGTAATCAAAAATGTATATAAATTCTCGAATATTAACAGCATTCCGTATTTTTACCTCTGTATATCCTATAGATTTCAATTCTGATGCAGAACACGGGTAAAGATTGAGAAATTTGTATCTATCAACAAGTTGGGCGGTGTCTTTGCCTTCAAATTCTTTCAGCTAAAAGAAAATTTATATATCGTAAGTAAAAACTTCGATTCCAAAAATTTCTTGACTCAAGTAGATAAAATTTTATTATTTTCATTTATGCTAATTCATTAATATATAAAAAGAAATATATATATATATATATATATATATATATATATATTGGTAAGTGTTTCATTGCTATATTTTTACTATTTTTTTTTCACTTCTATATTTCTTATTGTTTATATTTAAATTAATATATCCTGAATAAAAGTGTCCATACAGATTGAACTTTTAAATAAGTGAATTTATTCTGCTTGCTGATTACATAAGATCGAGCTTCAATAAGATTGATGAAAACTTTTCAACCACAAACATATCTATTACGATATTATCAGATCACACTGTAAATTTTGTCTTGTATTGAAAATCAAAAACTTTTTTTAATTATTTAATGTGTCAATGATAATTTCATAGACTATTCAAAATTAAATTAAATTAAATTATAATATTAAAATACCTTCTCTAATACCGCGCTTCTTCTTTTCTCAGTTTTTACTATACTTGCTAGATCACCAATATTTGATTCAAACTCCAAAAATCTGTTCCAAATTTCTACAGAATGTTGAGCTGACAAATGGCCAGATGATAAAACTCTTTCGAATAGAACTCTTGTATTATTATCCTCTATAAATTCATAATTAGTCAATTATTCAAAACGCTATGTAATCGCATTAGTTTGCTTATAAAGTTAAATATTTAATATGAACCTTTAATTCATAAAATGCAAAGCAAAATGTTTTATTCTGATTACAATTTTTTATCAATATTTGCAAGTATGTCTTACCATTTAAATGTGATAAATAGTCTATATAACACATTACGTATTCTGGGCTATCACTAAATTTTTTTAAACCTAATTCGAATATTCTAAATGCAATATTTTTATCCTTGCTACAATAGTATTCCATCAACGCGGCTGCTACAAATACATGATATTTAGATCTGGAAAAAGATAAAAAATAAAATTTTAGTTAATTTAGTTAATCATTTTCAAAGAAATATAGTATTCATCAAATAATAATTACCTCTGATCTTCTCTGGCTTTTTTAAATACTTGTCTGGCCGACTTTATACCTTCAGCCCTTCGAGCAAATTTCATATATTGCACATAAGCCTGAAGCATATCATATGCAATATAAATACGAATAAAGTTAATATACATGTTCAAACTATATAGATATTATTTTTTGAAGACATATTTATTGCAGAACACCTCATAGCGAATTATTTAGACAATTAGTATGGGAAATATGAAAATATGAACAAATACTAATCGCTCAATTGATGCAAACAAAAATATGCTAAATAACTTTGTTCATTTATATGATAACATTATTAATACCCTATAATAGATAGAGATAATCTCGATAGATTATCTGTTTCAACTGCATAAAAATCCTTAGGCTTGTTTTCTCTTCAGTGGTGTATGATATTATATCTTGAAATTAGGGCAAGTTGTAGAAAATCATCTAATAAATAATAAGTATGTGCATGTGTATATTCGTCGACGTTATCTCAAAAAACGGCTGCACCAATTTCAAAAATTTAAATCCATTTGATAAAACTCGACGAAGGCGATGTTGGGTTGATTAATTTTGCACCAAATTAGAATAGAATATAGAATTGCACTAAAAATCTTAAACCAATTTTTTTTATTTTTAAAATTCAAAAACCGCTTGAAAGATAATATGGATTGAGCTACAGATAGGAAGCGTGCTAATAAGTTTTTGGTAAAAATTGGCTGGACCGTTTCTTCGTAATCATTAAAAAAAGTTCTTAAAACTTAAATATCGTGTTCATGGCCTTTTAAGAACTTTTTTAATGATTACGTTCGAACGCCCTGTGATATACACTTACAAAAAATTGTTATAGATTATAAAGATTCATTAAATTTGAAAAAAAATGGCATTTACAAACTTTTATTTTTTCTTCGCAACATTTTTCATTGTATTACAATAATTTAATCTATTAATTAACTCTTTCCACTCGCAAATTTCGCGATTAATATTAATTTTGCGCCGGAGCGGCGTCATCAGAGTGGAAAGGGCTTCATTGCTGGCGCCCAAAAATATTTAACAAACTACTAAATATTAACTACACTCACCAAAGTCGGATCAATGTCTGGAATTTCCAAGTATTTTCCATAAATTTGATGAACTTTGTCATGCTTCAGTCTACCTTCTTCATAATCTGCATATGCAAAATATAACAATGCACTTCTAGATAACGCACCAGTAATTGCACGCTCTAAAATTGATGCTGCCTCATCGCTGAAGGCCCTTGCTGCATTAATATCCTATAGAATTTAACGTAGCATAAGCAAAATAAAAAATGTTCCACTTTTATCTAAAGCATTTAATCGATTAATATATTGAAACATCAATTAATAAAAATAATGACATACCCCCTTTTCCGTAAGTACTTTGCTACTATGTTCTAAGTATTGAGCGGCTTGATGCCAAACAGCTGGATGGTGGGCCAAACACAATAGGCATTGCTCAATTGCAAACATTACCCTTCTTGTTACCAATGCTGTGTCTTCAGATCTTAAAGGATTTGACTGTTCCCAAGCTATAAACTTTTTCCAAAGTTCAACCTATAAACAGAAATAATATACTTAGACTAAATTTTAAAATAGCTAATAATTGATTAATAAATGAGAGGCAAAATTGTTCTCTTTTTCGTGTGAGCCATGGGATTTTTTTTTCATTATAATTATATCGATAGTCGATCAGAATAAAAATTATTCTCTTAAAGGTGGAGCCTGCTTTAGAGGCTTCAAAAAATCGCTTTTTTTAAAGAATTTTTAGGGAAGGAAATAAACATTTAATTGACACGAAACTTTCAGGTTTTATTGTTATACATTTCAACATTTTTCTCAATTTTTTTCATTAAAATATATTTCATAATATGCCGGGTACAAGCATTTTGCCGATGCGCCACGAACGTGTAGGTGTCATTTGGCGGAGGAGATGCTGGTCACAATTTCCATACGAAACAAAAATTTTAAAACAAATATATATATTCAATAGTATAGATTCTAGTTGAACCTAAAAAATCCAAAAAAATGAGAATTTCACTAAATTTTCGCAACTTGAAATGTTTTTGATACAAAATTTCACTTTAGATTAATGTGTTAATACAAAATCTTTAGATTAGTGGGTTAATTATAATTTCCTTATCTATGATTATAACTTTTTTTTTAGTTTTTTTTAGGTTCAACTAGAATAGAATTAAATCCTGAATAAAATGAATTTTCTCTCGTTTCGATAGGATATTTAGATTTTTTTCTATCTTCCTCTCCAATTAGAAAGAATCGAAAAAATGAAAAACCGAGAAATCGCGCGTCAAAGTTTTCGTTCCGCTCGTATACATGCTTGACGCTTGCTCATTATTTCTTCTGCAATTCCGAAAATAATTTGAATTTGTTTCTGAAATTTTAGAAATATATTCTTGGATAGTTTTGGAAGACATTTTTGCAAAAAAAAACTATTTTTTATAAGCCTCTGAAGCAGGATCCCCCCTTAAACTATATGCTGATGGCGTATGTGAGCCAAGCGATAAAAAATAAATTTTTATCAAATATAAATTTAAATTTCCTTATAGTGAGCCTTATTATATATATATATATATATATATATATATATATATATGTATATGTATGTATGTATTATAGATGTCTCATGTCTTCGTTTCCATGTTGAACTACTCTTATATATGTTGCAGCAATACTCACGAAAGGCGTTTGAGTTTTATAAATTCAAGTGGAAACTTGATATCACACTGCTCAATATCGAGCTGGCATAAGTTGGGATCGAACTTGAGACGCAGTGCAAAGTGTATATTGAACTAAATATCAATACTAATACATGATCACCTGACTTACAGTCCGTTGCGAAAAGTTACCGATTGCAAAGCCCTTACTACTTACGTCATTTATTGGTAATTAAAATTTAATATCGTAATTAAAATTTAACATTTAATAAAATAAATATTTAATATCTTAATAAAATGAACAAAAATATTTTTCACCTGTTTAACTTCTTCATTATTGAGCGTGGGCGGTACTGCTGGCAAATTCTTGTTAAGTCCTCTAATTACACACTCTAATTCTTTGGCAACTCTTCTAGCATTCATATAATCTCTAGATCTTTCCATGCCCATTTTCTCTGCTATTATTAAATTTATACCTCTCTCAAAAGATATATAGTCTTTCCATAAATGCTCTATACCAATAATTGGAGTTACCACAGCCTTTTGGTAAACCTATGACATTATATTTTAAAATAAATATTAAGTATTTGTTGGAAATTATAATAAAAAATTATATATCAAAATAGTGGGGAAGAATTCAGAAAAATCAAATATAAATAACGTTAACTTTCTATAGCACTTAATACTCAAATCTTGTTTATCTAATAATGAAAATGACATTTATTTTTGAGTACATCTATATATTGTTAACTTACCTTTCGAACCGCAGAAATTTTTTGATTTTCAGCATAAGATCCAACTGCCTCCACCGACTTTAGGAAGCATATGTAATCACACCATATAGAGTACGAGTGAATATCCATTCCTATTTTTTCTAGAGCAAAATCATATGCTTGTGCCATTTTCTCCCTAGTGGATAATTGTTAATTAGAATTAAAAATCTATATAAATATGTATCGTTCTCGCAAATATTTTAATCTTACTTGTAAGTACTTAGAGCAGCCTTTGTCTCTTTAACATAAGCCAAATATAATTTCCATAAATCTATATTAAGTATCTTCACCAAACATCTTTGAAAAAGCTGCAAAGATTAAAATTAAAATATACGACTGATATGATTTTTAATACAAAAATTAACCCAGTAATCAACATTACTTACAAAAACCAACAAAGTAATCTACAATATTTCGGAAAAATAATGATCACAAAAGCTGTTTCAACTTCTACCATTTTTATTAGTAACATTAACAGAAAATTAGTTACAAAATTATTAGTACAAAGTAACTGATTTACATAATGCTTCATTTTTACAGTAATATCTAAAATATTCAATATTTGAAAGTTTTGATTGTTTATCAAATTAAATAAGCAGTTAAATAAGCATAATAGAATGAATTGACTAGACTAGACTAAAATTTGATCATGTAAGCAAAAAATGGCCATCAAACAATTAGTGTAATTAAAAAAAAAAGTTTTTATACTTAGTCCGACTATATAAAGAATTTATTAGTTCTAAAATATAAGTAGACACGTGCACACAGAGATTTTAATAATATGCGTTACAAAAATTTTGTTACAAAATTTTCCAAGCTAATTATCAAATATTTATGTTTTAATTTATCAGGCGAATCGTTTGAATTCCGGTCAGAAATTTAAAACGTTTGCTCTTTAAAATGCAAAAAGTATAACTTCCATTTGTGAGTAATTTTCACTGAATAATTTAACTATCGGTCTAAGATTATTGATCTCTTTTTGATTATCAAATACCTCCTTTTCACACATTTCAAAATTCTGTAATATCGTTTACTGCTTTTCAAATCTAATATATTATTTATTATTGCTACCGAACAATTTCTTGGTTTTCAATTTCTCAAAATTTCCTAAATGATTAAAGCTCTTCAAAAGTTTTAAACAAAATATAATTTTTCCAAATATATTCAAAATTTGCCACTTGTTAATATTAAAATATTTTCAAAAACGTATAATTTTCCTATTTTTTATGATTTCGGAATAGTAATAAAAATAAACAAAAAATTAATTGAAAAAAAAAAAACAATAAAATTGAATAAATTCAGAATCGCAATTTATAAAACTAAACTTAAAAAACGTTTAGAAAAAGAGTCAATATTTGTGATGGCAGAGACCAGACCACAACTTTTCACGGATCTAAGAACAAATGTGTCTTTCGAAGAACGGTAATTTTTCTCCTCAAAAAATGTATAAAACGTGATATATAAAAAACATATTATCTTATAACATTCATAAATAGGTTTCCTGGAAAATGCAAACTTATTGCAATGCTGGAGTTTGGGGTTTAAATAACCATAACTTTATTTATTCAATAAATTGAATAAATCTTTTTAATATTTTTGCTCAACATATACAATGAATGTATTAGCCAATCTTTGTTAGGACAGCAGAATGATTAACAATAAATAAGAAAAGTTCATAATAAGGTATTAGTTTTAATTGTGAATGAGAAAACGTGATTAAATTAACGAAATTAGAATAGAAATTGTTGCAGTATATTCTCCGAACTCATTGGAATGCAAATTAACTATATATTTCATAAATTGAATCATATATTTCATAAATACGTCCTATGATGCATTCAAATTTTGTGTTATCTACGAATATCAAGGATTAATTAGTGTAAAAATATTTTTGATTAAGAAATTATTAACGTTTCAAGTGAACATTCTGAGTAACATGTTAATTAATGGTAATAAAATAAAGAAGGTTAAAATAAAACTATATAAAATAATTGAGATAATTGAAAATGTTATAAAAATTGATAAAAATTAATCAAATCGAAATAAAACTAAAGATTGTTTAGTATTATTTATCGATTTTTCTCAACCTTTCAAAAGATTTTCTCTTAATTTCTTAATCTACTATAAGACTTTTTCGAACTTTTACTTTTGACAAACAAAAAGCAATAACTTGTATAATCTTCCAAACCTTATTATAAACCTACAGCAAAACATTTACAATATATAAACAATATATGTTTTTGCAATTGCAAAATTGTAATATTGCTATTCTCATTTATTGTGATACATTTTTAAATTGATCTGTTATTAAAAGGTAGGATGGCATAAGTATCTAGATGTAGTTTAAAAAAATATTCAAATTCATATTCGTTCTTTATTTATTACTGTTCTCGGGCGCCCGAGTCAACCGATTTGAATTTTAATATTCTGAATGGTTCAAAATACTTTCGATTCCTATTGATAAGGAGATGTGCTGATTAGTTTTTGGCAAAGGCAGGTCCGCTCGTTACGGAGATATAGAGCAAAGAGTGCCAAAAATAGAAATCGAGATTTAGATAGATCGGAGCATCCGGTTTGAATGATCTAAAAAACATTCAGTTCGTAATGATGTGGAGAAGTGATGATTAGTTTTTGGCAAAGGCAGGTCCAGCCGTTTCGGAGATACAGAGCTAAATGTACAAAAAATAGCAGTTTTTGAGAGATTTAATCATCCGATTTGAATGATTCAAAAAACTTTCCGCTTGTGTTGACGAAACAATTGTTTTACGAAAAAAATTTTTTTTGCTATTTAAAAAAAATATTTTGTATATTGAAAATAATTTAGATTTTAATTTTAATTCTTGCTAAAGTTCTAAAACTCACTTATATACTTTAAATAAATAATTTTAACTTTGCAATTCAGTTTATATAATTCTTATAAATATTAGATAATATTACAGTATTTATTTATAATAATCTATTTGAGAACATTTAATATTTCTCGAACATTTCGTTAGGGTATGGGAAGTTCCAGCAATTTGCTTTAAGGCACGATGCCATATACTACTAGATTTACAATTTGAAAAAATTACACAAGAAAACCGGCTACACGCGACAGTATAGTAATCACATTCTCAGAATGTTTATATATGTATGTATAATTTTATTATTTATATATATGTAAACGTTCTCAGAAAGTTTATATATGTATGTATAATTTGATTATTTAACACTAATGCGTCGAAATAAAATTCTATATTTGAAATTGTATAGTTTCTAGAATACAATGTGACTCATCATTCAGATAAGAAGTATATAAGTGTAAATACGATATTATAATGACACAAATTAAAATGTTTACTGCTAACTACGAGATAACTCGTAGATTGCAATCTTTTCTGGGACGGTCACTACGAGTTATCTCGTACAAATAAAATTATGTTATATTTAATATAGACCCATTTTTTTATATTTTGTTGAGAATTATGCATTAAAAATGGAGTTTTTAATCAATGGTATAATCAAATTCTGCAATTAAATTAAAAATACTAACATTTTAAACTAAAAATTGTACATTTTATATTGAAAGCACGTGACTTAAGAATTAACTGATAATTCAGGTTCATAAAAATATACATATTTTTTATTTCAACACATTAGCTAATAATTGAACAAAATATATCAAATCAAATTCAGAATCAGTATCCCCCAGCTTTTCTTATGCCACTTAACCCATTTTGGCCAAAATTCGACGCGACGGTTGTTCACAGGGACGACAGCCTATTTTTAGATTGGACGAATCGGCTGTTATTTTTTCTGTATTTTATGTATGAGAAGATGAAATGCTGAATGCCGTGGAAATAATTCTATTATGCATGATTATGTAACGAAAACGAAACTGGAGTGAAACCAGAATGCAGTGTTTTCCAACATATTTGTACCGCGCTCCATCCTTTCCTTAATATGGCACGCCTTAATTGATAAATTCAGGTGAGTATAATTTCATAAATACTCATTTCATGTTATTAAATAAATTAAATTGGTATATATTCGTATTATTTTGTAAATTATACGAACACATCTATTATTAAATAGATGTACGCAATACGCCCTAAAAACAGACTTGCGATCCATGAGGGGGAGCGCCCCACAGGTTGGATAACACTGGGATAATGGGATAATAAAAAAATTGAATGAATTAGTAAGTACAATGCACAATAAGACTTTTTCACGAGCCGACGTCGACATTAATGAAAGTGTTATAAAAAAATATAGAAGAAGATAAAGAGTATATATCTGAAAATGTTTGATGAACATTTTTTTATTAAAGGAAAAAGGATAAAATCACCACGCGGTCCGCAGACTGCAGAAATTCGAAGTATAATTTACCTATGTTTAATATGACGATATAAATATACATATTGAAATCAACACACTAGTTTTAATAGGCTTGCGATCTTCGAAAAAAAAAACGAATGGCACTATTTAGAAGGAAAGTATAATTCGGGGAGAGAATCATAGCATTCTAGATCCTCCCTCCAAGACGTAATGCTCAACGGCGGTTCACGTGGGAACAAAAAGCAAGACATAAGCGTAGATTTTATTCGATATTACACCCAGGCGGTATAATGCCAAAATGCATTTTCTTCGCTATTCAAAAAAAACATACATACATACACACACACATTATGTATGTATATATATATATATATATATATATATATATATATATATATATATTATATATATACACAGCATTTCTATAAACAACAATTGTATGCATGTGTTTGTGTAGTATATATAGTTTTATGAATGGAAAAAATATAAATTCTGTAAATATGAATCCATTACAGTCACTTGTTTGTATTAACTTTATTATATCATATAAAGACTACAATCTGAACATTTTCAGATTGTAGTCTCATGCATGAATTCTTTAAAAGTATATTAATATCATTTGAATGACAAACTCAGAACGCAAAAAATTGTAATTTTTACATAATATTAGCTAATTGAAAAACAAATAGTGCATACATAGGAAGAAAATGAGAAATCGTGCGCTTTAGGAACGAAAAGAAAGATTGTATACATAGATTGCAAATTCATATATATGATTGAAGAAACATGAAGAAACAAAAGAAGAAATGAACACTATTTCAACAAATAGTATTATAGCATAGTAAATGAAATATTGTTTTTATATATACTGATTTTATATAACTGCATGAAACTCAAGTGCGCTAAACTTAAAGTAATCTCTGCATTTGGATATAAAATATTGTATGTTTTATAATCTATATTCAATAGTGTTGTTTCTAACAAATAATAAAGGATATAGCGCATCAAAATATTTGAGGTGTGACTAAGAATAATCTGCACATGTTAAAGCTGGAAGAAACAATCATGTAATATACATATACATACAAATATATATATATATATATATATATATATATATATATTTGTATTTATAGTGTACAACAAAAAATATAAAAATATATGTGAACGCATATGACTCGGTGACCCTAATGATATTAAAAAGACCACTCCCATAAATCATATTTTAAATTATATGAAGCAATATTTTAGATAAATCTTTTATTGTAGAAAGTAATTTGAAAGTAAATATTGCTACAATTTAAATTATGGTTGAAGGAGCTTGTTATATTCCAATATAAAACACCGAAACTACTTTAAATGTTTTTTTATTAACAACATTTTTATAATGAAACAAGAAATCATATGAGAAGATGAGAATAATAAACAAATTTTTAAATAAAGGTTTATTACCATAAATTCCACAACAAGTCAAGAGCATTATTATAGAAGGAATTTCAAAGAAAAATATTAATATATATATTTGATATTCATTAAAAATATTACTCACTTTTTCAACACGTTCAAAGTTTCTTCCTTTCATCTGAAAATTGAGATACCAAAACATTTTGAATTCATGTGGTAGAAATGGCATTAACTCAAATTATTCTTATTTAAATTTGCAAGTTTTAGGAAATTTTACTAGAAATTATATTTACTAAATGTTTCATATGCACTAGTGACATTAAGTTGGTGTAAAATGAACTTAATCTTATTTAGCTTAACTTCAATCTACGATAAAAAAGCAGTAATATAGCATTAAAATAAATTTGGCAGTTGAAAGCCACAAATCTTCTTTGAGCTAATGCAATATCAATGTAATATCTTTTTAATGTAGTTCACCTCTTGTTCTATATAAATTTTCCAATAGCGTGCAGTCGTTGGAAATACTTGAATAAGTTTTTCATATACAATTCGAACATCTTCAATTTGCCTTGCTTGAGCTTCACGTACCAGCATCGTCCATGATTCTATATCATAAGAGTCGACCAACACCGTACTTTGAGCTTGATTAAGACGCTCATTGCCCCAATCCTTTGAAAAGTAAATAATTCAAATAAGTATCAAAATGTGAAGAAAGCTTTTGTGAAAAATAAACTCAACTTTCATAAAATCATCTATTTACTTACAATATCCAACTTTTCCTCAGTTGCCTCTGCCATCACCTATTGTATTATACAATTGTTTAATCACTTGCTATAACTACAGTAAAAAAACTAATAATATTTCTTTTAGTACACAAAAAGGTAATTAACTAGTTTGAAACAATGTAATGTACGTCAAAAAGGTTATCGGCATAGACAAAGCGTGGTTTCCTACAATTATCGACTACGGACGACAGAGGGCTACGAGCGGCATAGATAAATGTATCATAGACTCCCCCGGTAAAATACACTATAGATAATTGTCCTGATAATTGAATTTGAACATTTGAACAATCGAATTTGGTTCCTATTTTCCTGATTTGGATCAAATTGTAATTGATTCAAAACATATCTTATTAAACTTTTCACATATTGCAGTAAATTGCAAGCCATTCATTCAACATCTGTTTTGATTAAAAAGTCGAATCATACGAATCATACAATTTCTGTACAACTCCATATTTTACGATATTCCAATCATTATCAATAGAAATGATTTGAAAAAATAAAAATTACTCTTTCAAATATCTAAAAATTATAACAACAAACTAGAATTCGTACTATTAGACCATCGTCAAGCATACCGAATAAGTTTAATTAATTAAAAACTATATTTAAACTAATTTTATTTCTATGTAAAAAAAGATTACTATTATTGTGTTTATATAAAAATGGTAAAATAGTTAAGTGCATCTATGATTATAAACTGAGTATTTGCAAAATATTTCAAGTAATTTCTTGCACCACTACACAATTTGTTGTACCAGACTGATACAGTATGTATGAACATTTATGTTAATAAATATATGATAAATATATGTAATATTTTATGTATATAAAATTAATAAATATAATTATGAAAATTTTAAAAAATATTTATTTTATTCGAGAGCTAACTTCAGATTCGAAACACAAAATACTGAAAGGCTACATTTCTTGCGTTTATTGCGAAGAGCGCTGAGACCCGATTGTTTAATTTTAATTCAATAAATCCAGAACATGATTTATCTTTTATTTCTGTAACATGTAGTTTAGCTTTTGAATCATATCAGAATACAACAAGCAAGATTAAAAAAATACGAAATATGTGTTTCAATTTAAAATTTTCATTGAAACAGTGATTTAAAACGAGGTCAGTAAACCTTCAGTTGTTGTTCAATGCGTACGTAACTGCAAATTTACAACAATGAAATAGCATTATTCATAGATAAGGAAATTGAAAAAAATGGCATTATTCATGGTAGTGAACCATATAAAGGTACTAGTATTCACTTATCATATTAAGCAACCGATATGTTGCTGATAAAAAATACGCCAACCAATACTCTTCTTTTATCTATGAACCAATGTATCAAAATTTTAAATACCTAGACAATATGCAGAAGTATAGTATATTTCATTATGAATGAATTTGAAAATATATTTCAACCTTCTTCTTACATCCTTCTTAATAAATTGTTGATTGGTAATAATTTATGTTTTTAATCTTTGCTTTGTCGATTTTATTGGTCAATTTCTACTCTTTTCATAATAGGACTTCTTTTAACTTATATTTGTCCATATAAGCTTGATTCAAATCAGGGATTTTTTTAGTGGGCACATCACTAATATAAATTATCTCTGAACTAATACAATATCGAATTCTCAAAGATTGATGAGAAGTTTTAGAATGATTGTACAGAATCCCAGATTAGAGATTTCTATTAACTGTACAAGATGCTTATGTATTATTATACTTACTGTTACAAAAATTCCATGTATAGCCAGTGATACACAGTGGATAATAGCATGGCACTGTAACAACTAAGTATAAGTGCGAGGTTTAATGTTTTGTTTTATACTACACTGTTGCATCCTCTAAGTAGACAAGTTTTATTTATAATCACTTATTAGAGGTATCAAAATTGAGTAGGTATAGTAAGTTATTTAAATTATACTTTAACATCCTTTATTCACAAGCAAAATAGGCCATAAGAAAACATTACCAAAATTTCAATAATAAATCGCTTAAATTTTATTTAAAGTAGAAGAGTTCAGTATCCATAACTCATACACGCATTGCAAATAAATGATTAATATCAATTTTACCATAAATTTAGCTTCTAATCAGAGCAAAACCATACTTATTTGATGTATCAAAATAATGTTGAATAATATCTGTATTGAAAACTGCTAATTCCACATATCAATATTGAAACAATAATCATTTATTAAAAATTAAAGTAAACAGATACTGAAGACTTTGCACAAATTGCTCTCTGCATAATTCATAGCAACTTTTTGAACACGCATGAAAATTAAAATTGTAATAAATAATACTAATAAATTTCACTCACTGTAAACCGTGTCAAAAAAGAACAATGTATTTATGAAGTCTTATTACATCAAATGAGACTATTATTGTCAAACATATCCCAAGTAAATTGATAAGTTGTAGTCACCAGTTTATTTACGTAAATAATTATACAATTATCTTAATTAAACAGGAAACCACAATTTATTTTACATAATTCACAAAATTTTTAAAACAATAGGTCATATTAAAATTTAAATTAACTCTTGACTGAATGCAGTTATAAAAACCAATGATTATGTTTCAATCAGTGCATGTTCAATTTAAATGCAAGAATAGGAAATCTTGCTAAATAATTTAAATTTAAATAATAAATAAAATCTTGGCAATGGTCACTAGCAAGACTGGTAAATTAAGTAAATTTGAAGCTACTTCCTAACTATGTATAAAAATGTTTTTGCAAAACATGCAAACAGAAAACTGGATGAGAAATGTTTGGAAAAAAGGCTAACCAAATTTTTGATAGTTTAATTACACAGCTAAATAAATTATATTTTTATATAAAGACATGTTTTTTCACCACAATGATTTTTCTAACACACAAGATTGAGATCTTGACAAACAATTTTTAAATTGGTTAATAATAGCTATGAACACAAAATACACAGAGTACTGTCATTTCAATTGTTTTAAATACGAATCAATTTAAATAACAATTACCATTTTGCATTTTGCGACAAAATAAAGAATGTACTAGGAATCTGTAAATGTATCAAACATTACATGTGACTTTGGCAATGAAACCGACACATTTCACAGATTCACATGTGACAGTAATATTTTCGAAATACATTTAAAATGTCTGTCTAAGAAAACAATTCTATTAACTAACATTTTTATTACAATTTAGACAATGCGTACCCAGCACATGATTAGATTTTAGTAGATAAAAAATGTATTTCACAAACATAACTGTTTTAAAAGTTGCTGCTTCACTGATAATGAAGCTTGCACACAAGTCCATAGTGTGTAGTTATGTATAATATAAGTTCTTAACTTACATGACCAAATAATAATTATAGTTAAGGAGCACCCAAATTGTATATAATATATCAATTCAGTTTAGATGGTAGCTTTCACATATTGGGCTTGCAGTACATTTCGGACGGGTAATTTATGGCATGGAAATCACATAGCATATTTACGCGTCCATTCCCTTGCCAGTTCATTGTATTTTTCTCTATCTGTCTTGTATACCCGTGCTATTTCAGGCACCAATGGGTCATCAGGATTTGGGTCACACAGTAATGAACAAATAGATAATAAAACTGAAACAATAGATTAATTATTTCATCAATTTAAAATGGCCACCATAGCTAAATATTAAACAAATAGTTAAAAAGCTCAATGTTGTAAAAGTGATCTTTAATAAGTATTAAGAACACTTTTTATGACAGTAAGATTAATGCTAAATAATAAAATATGCATTCAAAATTCAATGCTAAAAATATTGCTTTATGCAAAGTCAAACATAAGCAATACAAAAAAAAAATAAAAAGCAAAATAAAAGAAATTTCCATGGTCATGCTTACCTCAATAATTAAAACCCATATTAAGGACATTAAAACAAACTACAATTTATATTACTTAAGTCATATTGCATCGTATCACCTACAAATCTCATGTACATTTATATTCACTATATACTTTCACAATATTATATGTATACCAATAATGGCAAGTACCTTGCAATTAAGTATCAAAAGTACACTTCAGAATGTAAAATGCAATACATGATTCTCAAATATGATTTAGAATTAATATAATAAAGTAATATAAAAAAGAACAGGTTACCTTTAGATATAGTGAGTGCTGGTGACCACTGTGAACGTAATATATCAAGACAAATTGATCCATTGCTGTTTATATTTGGATGATATATTCTTGTCGTAAATGCAACTTTTGGTGGTTTAAATGGGTAATCTGTCGGGAAGTGAATTGTGAGAAAAAACACACCTCCTTGATAAGGACTGTCAGGCTAAAATAAAATTGGCTATTATTAAAGTAATAATATAAAATGATTTTCATATTCATGTAATCAACTCACTGGGCCCATTATTGTTGCTTGCCAATGAAATACTGCAATAAAATGAGAAAAAAAATTAGGAACCTCAAAAAGAGTAAGCAAAAAAAAATTAATAATTACAATCATCTCCTACTGGTCCTGCTGAACATTGCGCTGGAGGATCCCTGCCAAGATCTTGCAGTTCCTACAAAAAATTAATATTTCATAGTTAAATTACTTTTCCAGTCAATTACGTTAAAAGTCAGACATTTTTTAATCTTGCAAGTCTGCCAAAATTGGAAGTGCATGGCGACGGTGTGCTACTTATTTATGGATACTGACATCCTTTGCAAAGTTAGCAAACAACTACAAAGATTTCTATTAAAATCATCGGCAAGATTAAAACGTGGTGCAAGAAAACTGTCCAGAAGGAATTTTTGTGATATCCACACTGCTTGAGCCTCAATAATAGGGCGTACAATGTCCACGTCTATCACAATTATTTATTACACAATCGATGCTAGGACAATATCACTGACACTATCACTCGATAACATACCTTATTAATTCTTTTTAACGCCATTTGAGATTACGTGCTAATATTAAACTGGCTATTCTCCAGACAATGATACCGTGAGCCAAGGACCTTTGATTATAGATAGCAAGATGGCTCCGCTCTGAAGTCGTCGTACAGGGTTCAAAACTTAATTTAACTAATCGAATGATAGAATAAAACTTTCATTACCCAACAAAAAACAATTCTACAAAATAACTACAACCGATTGAACACCAAGTACATTGAAAGGTTTGAAAGTTCTTTTGTTTCAAAAGCACTCGGCGAGTGAATGAATTTAATAGATTGGCATTCGATTAGACCGGTAATGTAGTGATTCATAAACGTACATCGCAGTGGCGTGAAGTTGGTACCGGGCTTTTTTGTGACAGCATATTCTAGACCAAAGCGAACGTTACGTCTTTGAAAAGCCGATATTTGTTAATTATGAAACTCCGTAATTATTAAAACTAGGTTAATTAAGTAAACATATTGATCTCATAATTTATTACTGAAATATTTTATTAAGCAATTTTTAATCTGTCAGTTATCAATGTATTTAATGAATGTCAAAAAAAAACAGAAACTTTGTGATGACAATATAAAATGATAGATAATCATTGAATAAAAATAATCACATAAATGGAGGGTATACTCTTATAAACAGCATTAGTTGTAATATTAATCAATATTAATGAATGTCAATGTATTACCTTCTAGCAGTCCCATATAATATCAATTCAGCAGCGATCAAAATACTTGTATAGATCATAAAAACAGTTGCAATTTTTTCATTTTATTGTTGGAAAATGTTACATTATATAAATATATAATATTATATCTATACATTACTTTTTCACATAATTATAAAAGGCCTCAGGATTAAGGTATAAGTTACACTTTACATATGTTTCAAGTAGACTACATTCATGCCCATGTGTAATATATTTAGAGAAGAGGGTTTATAGAATAAATTATATTCATTAAACAAGTTTGTAATAACTGGTATGGTTTGCTAATATATAAGCCTAATATGGTGGTGTTGAAAATTAACCAAAGAACAACTGTGGAAGACTATTTTATTTCTATATTATAAGTAAATTTGTAGAAAATTCATCAGATTCAGCAAGTATACTGTTATGAGATACAATTATATCGATTTTGGTTTCATGTTTCATCTTTATTTATATAATATTGCTTCAAACTTTTTATGATCCAAATTTCAAGACCAGAATTATTCAAATTTATTATTTAAAACTTATACAAACAAATATATAAATGCAGCATTAAGCTCTTACTAAATATGTTGCAACATGTAAGTACTACTAAAGTTTCTGTTAATCATGAAATGTGATTAATTCAATAAAAAAAAACTACTAAAGTATTTTCATGAACCGCTCTTAGCGTATCAGTTAATTTAAAGATACAAGAATTTCGTATCAAATATCGAGCATGATGTTATAAATTACATTACTTCTAAAATACCTGGCATATTTCAAAATACAAAGGCTTCATAAGCAATAAAATACTGAACTAAAAATATACTATTGGTCAATTCAAAGATGAAAAACATTTTTTACAAATCTTGCCATGTGATAATCAATAATACTTAACAATTAGATTAAAAAATACTTAAGGATTTTATCTTAATGTTTTTTTTTTAATTTTTTTACTTAATTTATAACAATGATAAATTACAAACTTTTTTGTATGTGTATATATATGCACATATTTAGTATATACATATATATTTTATAGTAGATTAAATCTTTTCATTTTATGGCTCATTAAAGACATGTATATTAACAAAATTACATATTTTCGAATTGATCTACACGTCTTTTAGTATTGCCTTTACGAATCTCTCTTAATGTTTTGTATTTATCGCGACCTTGACGGACATTTTCACGATGAATCTTGTCCATTGCAGTTTCTTTAGTTTCATCTCGAGATTGAGCTAAATCTTGTTTCAATGCCTATGAACAAAAATTGAAGTATATTAAATTAAAGTAATATAAATAAAGTAATGTAAATAAAAAACCTACAGGATGTAGAAAATTTAACAGATAAGTTTTAATAGTATTTATAAAAGAATTTTAATATAAATGGAATATATAATTATAAAAAAGATTAAAAATTCTAAGAACCATTTAAGTCAGAAAAAAGTATTATAGTAAAAATGACAACTGAAATTATTAAAGTCCAACAATTGCCATACTATATATTCTAGTATTCACAACTATTGTTTTATTTTTTATTTAGCATTTGCTCATCAATGATTTTCTTCTAAAATCTGTTAGAATTCTACATTAACTTAATCTATATTAAGTAATGCAGGCTAAATATAAAATCAATCACAAAAGGACACTGAAAAAAATATTGTAATAACAAAGTTTAAACTGCTACATCAATTTATTGGAAATTATAAGATGCAGTCAACTTCCTACCTTTAATTGATCGTGCAAACGTTCATTCCTTTCAGCTAGAGTGAGTCTATCCTCTACCGGATCTTTAATATGCTCATCAGTATCTAAGTCACGACTGATATCTCCACTTCCGTTTTGTAACTCATCACTCTCGTTGTCATTTTCTTCCATCACATGGTGATGTTGAGGAGTTGATGTTGCAGCCAACAAGGCAGCGGCTACTTCATCCTGTAAAAAATTTTAGTTGAGTTTAAATAAAAATAATTTTATAATCATCAATCATATCATAAAATAATAATTCAATAATGATATCAATTTGATTTTTTTTTAATTTCAACTACTGCTGCAACTGTCTTAATAATAAAATAAAGTATACCCCATAGTAATAATCTGTGCCAAAGGTATAACATGCTCAAAAATATCAAAATTAATAGCAATGACAACATAATGAATGAATACTTAATGATTTATAATTTATAAGGGAAAATAAAAATAATTTCAAATTTTTCCCTAAGATCTTCCTGGAAAAATGAACTAATGTTTAAATGACAAACCTAATATTTAATAGCTTTTCACGAATCAAAAAGTCAAAAACAAATGATTAATTTAAATAAATGATTTTTGATTTTTCGACAATTTCTTTAATCTTGAAACAAACATAACAGTAGTATGCAATTAATTTATATTAAACTAGAAAGATTGATTGAAGATTTTAAAATCTATATTATCAACTAAAACAGAAGGAAGTTAGATGTGAATTAAATTCCAACAATAAATTCCAATTAGTAAACTTTATAAAAAACATGCAGTATATCAAAATCAAAAATAATGTTAAACAATTGAAGTGCAGCATTCATAAGAATAAATATTATGGAACAACAGCAACAAAAGTGGTATATTGAGTAAAGATATTGCTTTTTATTTTCAAACAGTTGTAATGCACTTCAAAGGATTAAAAATGTTCATTCTTACTTTTTTACGCCTGGCTTCATCAACTTCATTCTGTAATCTCCTAGTCTCTGTATCTTTAGCTTCAACTTCTTCTTGAATGCGTTGCACTTCATCTTGTTTTGCACGAATTTCTTCTTCTAATTTTGCACGCTCTGCGGCTTCCATGTTCTTTGTTTCCTCAAGGCGGGTCATCATTGCCTGCAATTCATTCTGCCTTTGCTCTAATTCTTCTTTAGATGCTTGCAATTGTTTCAGTTGCTCCTCTAAACGTCTGATCATATCTTGTGCCTCTATTAAATTAGCCTAAGGAATGAAAAATATATAACCATCAATATATTTTACTTTATGAAATTTTGACTTGTAATGCTAGGGATACAAATATTTTGTACAAATTACAATGCACATCATATTTATATTTCAATCATATAATTTACAGTTTTTTCATTTTTCAAGTCTTGTATATAAAGAATGACTTCCACTATCAATTAAGTTTTTGATTGATCAATAATATAATTGTATTATATTGAAATAATATCATATGCAATGACATTTTGTTAAATTACATTTGATCAACATGAGTTATAATTCACTTTATAGTTTCATCTTTTTTTTTAATTTTATCCTTTTGATTGAATGAAGTAAATATATTAAAATTCATTGATCTTCGAACTGGGAAGAGACAGTTTACATGATCTTGCTAAATTAGTCAACTCAGTTTCAAACTTATATTTTAAACAAATAAAAAAAATTAAAATCGACTTTTTTTGAATAATAATTAAATATGTAAATTAAGGCCAAATTTTACACAATACTGACAATTTTAACTAATAATATTTCTTTGATAAAATATTATGCTTGTAATACAAAAATAAAACAACTATCACTATAATTGCTTTTTGATTATGCAAAATTAAAATGGCAATCAAGTTTTATTTAAGAGTAACATTGACAATTAAAACTAACCTAGTTATTATTGTATGTTATATACCCATAAAAACTTTATTCGCGAGGAAATTGCAAATGAAGTTTTGTGACAAAATTATTTTTGGAAAAATTAAATAAAAAAGTATTCTAGAGTGTGGTAACAAAATGTAGTATGTTGATCATACATCACTAAAAACTACTGTTTAAATCCCCAGAATATTTGAATTAAAACACTAATTACATTCACAAATTGTAATATATTTATGTACCTGTGATCGTTCCATTTCTTCTTGCATAGATTTAAGCTTGTCTTCATACTCTTGTTGTTTCTTCTCAGCTCTATCGCGAGCAGCTAAGGCTAGCTGTAGCTTCTCTCTATAATGATAAAATTAATTGCTGCATAAATATATAAAGTATGTTGTACATACTCTGTGAATCAAATGAATGTGGAAGATAACTACCATATCCATTAACAATAAATGTAAAAATCAATGTGGATATAAGTACATCAATATAAGAGAATTTGAAAACAATGCTGTAATCAAATAAAAAGGCTGAAGCTACTACAAATATTAACCATTTTTATAAGTTTATAATAATATATAATTACCTTTCAAGCTGCTTAGCAATTTTTTCTTCTTTCGCTTGAGCTTTCATTTGCTGAACATCAATAGTGTCTGGTTTGCGCCTTCTCATGTAGAGTTCATGATTACCCATGCACAAAGCCAAAATACGTTTGTTAATGCGTACTCGTGGCGCAAAAAATACAAAGTCTGGTGCTTTTTTATCTATTGGCTTGATTATAAATTTTTTATCATTAAAAGATATGTTTCGTATTTCTGACCAGGGGAAACCTATTTTTGGAGTAAGTCTGTAAAAGAATAATACTATTTGAAACACCATATTATTTTATAAAAGAATACTGATAAAATTTATATATATATAAATATATATATATATAAATATATATACATAAATATATATACATACATATTTTAAAGTTAGACTATTGGTCCTTATTCTATTATTAACTCAATTAGGAATTTTCTGTTTGAAATGCATAATTAGTGTGTAATACTAACTTGTCATCCTTTTCATAAATATTAAGGCCCAAAGCGTCAACGCCTAGCCATAATTCAGTTCCTTTTTTATTTCGAATCTCGAAGTAATTGACTCCATACATTTCTAAATCTTGAGCGATTTTCAAATATTCCATCATAGAATCTTCTCTTAGCATACCTCGATGCTCATGCCACCATGTTGTTATACTCTGTTCCCATTCTTCTTTAGACATTTTGTGTTGATCCATTACCCTGAAATGAAAATAAATCATTTGAAAGATAATGTAGGTTTAAATGTCAGGAAGGCCCCTTTTATTTATTTCAATGGAAGCAACTAAATTTGATAAGACTATTGGCTTCGACTGGGAAAAGATTATAAGGTAATTCAGTACCAGTGCACAATAAGAAGAACAACCATCAAATAAAAAACGAAATTGATTTACAAAATACAATTATAAATGAAATCATTGACCTGGGTGTGTGTCGGAAATAAGCGAGCCTCTGGGGATAACAGATTTGGAATATATACTTGAAAAGCATTTTTTTTCATTTATCCATTCGAAAGTCACGTTTATAGTATGACAAAATCTACCACAAAATATTATAAATAAGGTGCTGATCGACAATGTAAGAAATGAAGATATGTTTTGTGACCTCATTCACACTGCAAAGAGTGAATGAGGAAAGAACTGCATTATGAAAGGAAACCTGAATTGTACCCATATAGATAAAAGTCTGCAAGATGTCTTTGACGAAAGTATAGAAGAAGATTTGGATGATAAATTCTATGAAAATAATTTACTCGAATTTATAATAAAGTAATAGCTTGGCTAACTTATTATTATTATCCTTAAACAAAAAAGAAAATTATATTTTAAATTTAATTACCTTTGTGGTAACAGTCTATCGTTCGCCAAAAATCCAGAAGAGTGTTGGTCTTTTTGAAAATCTCCATGTCGGGCTTGTACAGCATAAGATGCTAGAAGAACCGATGTCTCAGGAGGACAATATATTTCATCAGACAGTATAGCGTTCTTAACCTAAGAAGTATAAATTCATTTAATTTATATGAATAATTGGAGCAATAATATTTTATTTTTGGATCTAATATAGTCAAATATGTTATCATAAAATTACAAAACAACAATGAAACTACCTGAAGATAAAAAAGACGAGATGTAATGTCCTGTATAAGTTCTTCAGCTACATCTTCAGGATAAAATTTCGCTCTGAATTTGAATTGAAGTGGATTTTCCTTTTTGACATCTTGATTCATGACCTGTATAATAAAACAACAAATTTAAGTATCATAAATTTTTCAACGATGTTGTAAAATCATTATATTCTATATTATAAACTTAATTTCAAATGGGTCAATGAATTTTGAATTTTCAAAAAAAAATTGTAAACACAAAGGCACGCAATCGAAATATTTTGTTTACACTTACAATCAAATTACACTAAAGTTGATACTATCCAAACAATATTATAAAAACATTTTTCTTCTGTAAATAGTTTTTCACTCTAGTTATTAAAATACTTCTCAGTGCTTATAATTTATAAACAAAATTTTGGATGGCGTTTTAAATTTTCAATATATGTATTTGATATTTTGATAACTTATATTGTATCTTACATATTATATATGATATACAATAATTAATATATTGTACTTCATGAAACGTAATTGATAAACTTAACATCATGTTAAGTTATCTAGTTAACTAGAGAATATACTGAATACAAAATAAATTTGTAACCATAATTTACTGAATCAGAAAATTTACCTAGTTTGCTATGTATTCATCATTAATCAATTTAAAATTCTCACATAGATCAGATACAAATTGTGTCATTTGCGATAAAAAGAAATGTGTTGCATTTGTGATAAACGAACAAAATTGCTAGATGAACGCGATGGCTGATATAGACCATAAAAATGACAAATAAATGGATATGCAAAAGTTGAAGAACATTGCATTGCTGATGTTTCTGGTATAATGAAAATATTGTACGGTTAAAACATGCAAAGAGCAGCATTTGGAATAGAAATCTAAGAGATAGAATTGAAGATTGCTTATCGTGTCGTAGTTGTCCACTTCTTAATTTTATTGTTATTTCAGAATACTACTACAAAAATGACTGATTAACAGTAATAGTTTTTCCACCATCATCGCTAATGGCCGCATTTTCATTAAAACTCTCCAAACTTTCCAAATTACATATTTCAGCCAACCCAGAAAGAAGAATTTAAAAGCAAAGTGTTTACGATGAGATTATTTTGAATCTATCTATTCAATTAAACGGATAAGTAATACAGCTGATTTGAATACGACCTTGTCTGATGATTGAAACGTTATAAAAACACTCAAAAAACTCATAAGTCGGTTGAAGATGAAATATATGAAATGATTCATTCACTTTGAAAGAATTTCAGAGAATTTCAGACATTTTCATCGTGACGTCACCACAGATATGCACATGATATGTCATAGTTCTATTTAAAACTCGTGATCTAAAGATCGATGATGAGAAATAATAACTCTCTAAGATGAGGTAGAGTACACGTTTTCATGAGCGTCATAGAAGCGATCTTTGCTTCTATTGCTTTGCTCAAAATCGAGCTTACCTTGATTACACTTGCATTATAATGAATGATAAGTCTACTTGAAACCAACTAAATCGTCAAAAAATAACATATAAAAATGCATTGGCGATAATACGTGGTTGACTTTAAGCGTAAGCATAATACTGGATAAAGATTTGAATGGCATATATTCAAAGTTAATATTAAAAACAATATTGAAATACTTAGCAAACAAAAGTGTTTAAAGTGAGCATAAAACCCAGAATTTTTAAAACCTTTACAAGTACAATAAAAATAATTGTCAATTGTCAATTGAAAAATCTATCCAAAGAGCTATCCAAAAAATTAAATTTATCGTGGTAGGGCTAAATAATCTTATCGGTCAAAAAATAGTGTCAAATTAATCCTTACACTCTTAGCTTAATTAATATTTTTTTATAAAATTGACTCACGTTCGCAAGTAACTAATCATTTTATCACTATCGTCTACAAAACTATTCGAATACCTAACAGAATATATCTCATGAATAAAATTCTTCTGTAGGGGTGTATGATTTGATACTTAATGATATGAACGATAGAACTATAGTAATATTGTAGATATAAATGGAAAAAATTACAAAAAACACTTATTGTTTGGCATTGAAAACATTTGAACTGCTATAGAAATTCACTTTTCAATTCAATTTGAATTTAGCTGAAATTATGAGCCCAGATAATATTAGAATATAATATATTCAAGAAAAATGTAATGTCTACATTATTGTCGTAAAACAGCTGAGATGTGCCAGAAATTAAAATAATATAATATATAGTCAACAGTATTATTTGGCAGATGAAATTATATAATTCAGTTTAATAAATAACACAATAAGCCCAAAATTGCATATACATTATTTTTTTTAACTTATGCATGTTGCATTTTGATTTACTTTACTAAATTATTTAACAATTCAAAAAAATATTTCTACTTATTAAAAAAGTGATTTAGAATTTTGTTTCATGTGTCAAAAATTCATTTGTTTGGCATTGGATATGGAATATTTAGCAAGTTGATCTTGGATTGAAGAGTGCTCATATGAACTAGAATTTACAAACTAATTCGCCTAAGATTTGAACATAAACAATATTGTTTATTACATTATTAGTAAGAAAAATGTACTTTAGAAATTATAGTTGCCTAAAAGCAACTAATATATCGTACGAAATTATGAAAATTATAGACTAAATTATTGAAGCAATTATGCTGTGTGGTAAAATCAATAGTGATATTGTTCTTTCATCGCAGATACTATTTTATTTTTATCTGAATTTCTTATACTGCTTATGCTAAAACCATAAACGAATTCAGGCAGGACATCAAATAGGATATTAAAAAGTGAAGGAGAGGTGGATAGGATATTAAAAAAAATTGGAACTTTTGAATTGTAGACGTGGGTATAGGCATGTCGGGTCATCTAGTATATGTACACATAATATTAATATAAAATTTATATTACATATCACAGTACTGAAGAACTGACAGTAAGAAATATGGAAATGGAATCTTTGAAAGTTAAATAGTTGACTTGTCCTTGAGCAAAGCGCATCATGCATTTTAACTTAATATTTTAATAATATTAAAATAAAAATTATTACTATTATTCTTATTACAATAATTGTAATCTATGATAGCATAGTATAGATATAGTATTATAAAAGATTTTTAAACCGTTGTTTAAATGAAAATTTTAAATTGAAATTTCTTTAAGTTGCGAGATTTATGACGATTACATTGAAGTTTATTGAACAAAAAGTCAATGTCACAACTCCGGTATAAAGGTATTTCCAAAGTCCTCTCTGCAATAACACAATGCATCGCGCGTGTACCACGCCGCCTTCAAGAGGATAATCATGCGGCATTCTGATTTGATTCAGAAATTAAATGAATCTTTGATTCGAATTATTTTGATTCCAACGATTCGTATAACTCGAAACGAAATCTAACCAAATGTTCTAATACAAGTCAAATCAAGTAATATCAGATTTGAATCAGGCTATGAAATTGATTCCAATGATTTGAACCATTTGATTCGAATGTAATATCATTATTAGATAAACAAAGTTAGACAATATTTTTAACGATATTTTGATGAATGAAGAACAATTTTACTGTTGTCAATAATCATGGCAATTTTATGTCCCTGACTTACAACAAGTTTAAAAATGACATTAGACGTAACACATTAGCGTATACTTGCTAATTGAAACTAACCAAATATGGCGTCATTAATACAAATTGGTTTTAGGAAATTATTAAATAAATTTTGTATTTTAAATATTTTATATAAAAAGCAGGAGTTTTTAAATATGAAGTAAGATCTGAATCCATAACTTATTTGAGAACCAACTTCTAAGCCGATTTATAAACAAATTATAAATTAAACTAGTGGTGAATGGCATCGTGCCTTAGAGTGAATTGCTGGAACTTCCGGTACCGTAATGAAATATTCGAGGAATTTTAAATATTTTTGAATAGATTATTATAAATACTGTAACTTAAAATATATGTTTTGCCAGAAAAGTAAATAAACAGAACTTAATTGATCGAATTTAAAATGAAGGACATTGTCTAATATTTATAAGTATGATATAAGAACTTCAGCTAGAAAAAATTAAAATTCCAATTATCTTCGATATTTTTAATATATAAATATTGATAAAAAGAATTATTAAAAAAAATATTTTTTAGAAATTAAAAACAAAAAAAAAATTTGTCCAAAAGCAAAAAGTTATTTGTTAATTCTCTTAAAAACTGCCATTTTTGGTACATTTAGCTCGGTATCTTCGCAACGGTTGAATCTGCCTTTGCCAAAAACTAATCACCACTTCTCTCCATCATTACGGATTGAATGTTCTTTAGATCACTCAAATCGGATGCTCAGTTCTCTCAAAAACTCGATTTCTATTTTCTGCACTCTTTGCTCGGTATCTCCGAAATGGATGGACCTGCCTTTGCCAAAAACTAATCAGCACATCTCCCTATCAGTAAGAATCGAATGTTTTTTAAACCAGAAAAATCGGTTGATCTGTGAGTCCGAAATATTCTTTATTTCCTTTCATTATTTCAAAATAAATTGATCACTACTTCTAATATAAAGCTCTTTGAAATAATTATGGATTTTTTTGATTAAACGTGGTTTATAATAATAATGAAATTGCAATCTGAACTCCCAACGCTAGTTAGACCGATAAAGTCATTAACCACTAAACCCCACCATTGAACTCACTCACTTGACAATAGGACATTAAACTAATTACTGACTTATTTATATACGAAGTTCAAAATTGCTTTGTATTATAGCTAGATAAATATAGTTTGTATTATTAGATAATGATTAACTACAAGCAACAAAATAAGACCAAATTAAATAAAGTCAGTCTGAATTAATAACAATCATAAAAATTTATCGTAAAAATTTCATCGTCAATTAATTTGCAAAGTTAATAAACACGGAAAAACCGTTGGTGCCTTTTTATTCCGAAATCGAAAAATAATGCAATAAACTCCATGGGACTTGAAAGCTTGTCGAAAGATTGTTTACGTTAGATCAGCTTTGAAAACTGTTGCCAAAAAATGAAGGAGACAAAACAGAAGATGATATAATTATAAATAATCCTGACTTAATTCACAATGTAGACGCAAGTAGAAA